TAGTACTGTCTGCCTCTACGCAAATTATGGCCTGAATGTTGGTAGTCTAAATAATCAACTAAACGGTGAGTCCTAAATAGTAATGAATCCTATCTTACTGTTCTATAACTATAATCTTATGCAGTCAAATCTTTCGGAACAACATATTATAACTTACTACTACTTATATGTTTAATGCTGCACGATTATGCACTGTTTTCCGAAATTACATTTGTTTATATCTAAAATGTAGACTCTGATAGTCTATTTTCCTTATACTTTTATTATTGTTCCTCTCCAAAATGCTGAAGTTTAAATAACAAACTTCCCGAATCCAAGTACATGGTAAGAGTCCCCTACTTCAGAAGGACACCTAAATGTATACTTCAGAAAAACAGTAGTTATTGTTAAGCCCTCGCTTTTCTTTTACATAGTTCACGCACTTTGATCTTTGTGTTTAACTCCTATTCAACCTATATAAGTAGGTAAAATTATCACCTTTTTTCATCTAAACGAATTTCTTTTTCGCAAGAAAGACTAGAATTCCATTACTAAAACCTCAGGGGGAAATAATATTTTTTTAATGAAAAAAACAATAAAAAATGATGAACCCCATGTTTGTTATATATATTTTGAATTATTAACACCTATTATATACTTCTGCACCTCTCTGGAGGTTTTCTTGTGTCTTTTCTTTTCAAAGGTACTGCCTTAAACAAAGGCACTGAAACAGTGCCGCTATCCTCAACTAATTCGGAATATTGCTAGCCCACCTGGGGAATAACGGAAACGCCTCTATCATAAAATCTGCTGACAAGTTCACAGTTGGTCTCATATACAGCTGGACATGTCACAATTATGGTGTACTTACCGGTGACTTTGAAGTTTTATGGACTTTCAAACACTTTATGAATCATTTATTTACAATTACTGTTCATTCTGCATCTCTTATATTTCACGTCAACACCTGTACAAAAATGCTACTCACCTTCCACAATTAACGTAATCGTTTATAATTCCCGCGTAAAATCGCCATAGCGTATTCTTTTTCAATTACAGTTTAGATTTGATGCTATTTCTCATGACTTATTCAGTTGAAAGCAGATCTCAAAAATTACCTATTGCCTTATTTGTACATTTCTCTTCAAATATTTCTCTCACATTTACCAGTATTCAATCTATTTCTAGATTAACAAATCATACTATATATTCTATAAGTTCTAATTAGTGTACATGTGTTCATGCTTGTAAAAATGGCTGGTTTCTGTTCCAGAAATAGAAATTATTATTATTGGTTTCGTTCTCAGGAACTCCTACAGAATAGAGAGTATTACTTCACAGAGTTCGTGTCAAGGAAATTAACCCTAAGTTCCTATTATTTCCGAAGACGCTCGAATCGACAATTATACTATGTACAATATCGACTTTAACTCCAAAACACAAGAGATCACAAGAAATTGTATTCTTCGGCAGTTAAAATCAATACTCTGTTTAAAGTCTATAAACAAATGTTTTACAAGGAAGGTATTGTACTTTTATTCGTATTCCCTCGTCTTCTTCCAACTTGTACACGATTGAATCGTCCGCGCCTTCGAGTTGCCCGCCAATGGCAACCAAGATCAACGAACCAACGTTCAATGTTCGCAATCATTGACAGTTGGTGTGCGCCCACTCCTAGGTTACTGCTAATACATATTTAGTAGCATACACATAGTAGACATACTGAAAATAGAAAGAGTACAGGAGTACTTCACGCTGAAATTACTCGGAGCCGAAGACGGCACAAACTACCCCACCGGATGTGAAATCCTAGGACTCGAAACAATATGGTTAAGAAGACTGCTACAAAATTTGGTACTCTTCGACAGGCTTCTTAACTACACAGCGTATACCCCTACTAACGGTGCTCGGTTTTCAGAAGACAGTGGACATAACCTTAGACACACTAAAGGTACAGTAGCTAAGAACAATGCAAAACAGCCGCCAGGTAAGTTTTCCTTGATTAGATGTGCCCAAATATGGAACAAACTGCCTGAGGAAATGAGACTAGCTAGCACATTGGCCTTCTTTGGAAAGGCACCTAATGAAACACTAAGTGAGTTTGCAAGCGATAACAGTGCCGATTCCCATGTAATAGCTTCAGAAATCATACTCCATTTAATGTAGGAACTTGCAGACTACACCTTTTGTTTAGCCTCTGTTTATAATTTCAGGAAAAAAGGGCAGCAGTCATGACAGTAACACCTATGCAAATAAGAGTCGACCGAATAATGTCTACCTGATACAAAGGGTGAAAAATAACCAACATACGAAGGAAATATAAGAAAAGAAGGTCGGCACTTACCACATGGAAAGATATAAGTTACTTGGACATTATACGTAATCCGCCAACTGGTCTCCTTTGCAATAAGAATGCGGTGATGCTCTATCCACAGTGGCGAGGAATTATATAAATTCACAATTCCCATTGTATATACTCAGTAGAGGTAGGAGTCAACGAAGTAATGCACTTAAAGCATAGGTGTACTCTCCATGACGCGGCGATACTTTGCGGAATATGTCAGAATTGTAGAGTAATCAAACCCCACACGAAATGGCATTAACTAAATCCGCGTGGCGAACAAGTCATAGTACAAATCTGGATATTCATCCATATTTTGATCATGATAACAAATCAAAGTCACTACCCATACAACGCCAATAAACCTGGGTATCTATGAAATAACGAAAATATGCTGACAGCTGCATTTCAGGTCCTACTGACTCATTCGATGATAATATTCTGCTCCTGCATGCTTCATTCGAAATTTTATATGGATTGGTTCGCAGTCATTCAGGTTCCTGACCGAAAAGAATCAAAAATCCACTTGTTACTGATTCATTAATACTTCTCTGCATGTTTAACCGGATACTAACTGCTGTGGCAAGTCTCTTGCAGATTATATTCCTCAAAACATTGTTGTCTGCGAACTAAATGACGTTTAACAAACCATTTTTATACTTTTGTGAATAGCCTACCACATCGATTACATGCAACGTAGCCTTCAGTTGTTGTGCATTTTTGAAAAATTCGGACAATAAGAGTGCCTCAATTGTTTTAACTTATGTAAAGTGTACTTACTGGCATTGGAATGACTTCAAGCTTTATTTTTTCCCTAGTATTTGTTATCCATCCAACACATACTTGGTTTCTTTTTAATCCGTAGTCAATATTTTTGTATTTCTTAATGTGCTCCATTGAATCACTAGTTATCAGATTGTTCCCAAAGTGACAGTGACCATGTAAATTCACCATAAAACAAATTTATGTAATTTAAATAATATTTGTTTATGCCTGCACAACTGGTGTGTCCCACATAGGTAGGAATAATTATGTATTTTATCATATTATTATTATTATTAAATATGCTTACTCGTCGTATATGTAATTTATCATATTGATGATGCCTATAAACTGACGTCCCTCATGTACAAAAATTGAGGACATGTTATTATTACCAATTTGTAATCCTACCTTTCTAGCAAAAAGAAGTCCCAAATTACCGACCGACGACCTGTAATATTGTAGAAGACCAACAGTGTTTTTGAACCCTTATTTCCGAAAACATGGTGGAGCGCAAGTAAAGTGGGGAATTCCTAGTCGGACAAACGGAAGGTCATTCATTATATAAAGGAAGCCCCTCAAATCACAAAGAAGATAGGGATCCTACCTGTGGATCGGCATCCACTGGTTCCGCGAGGCATTTGACTAGTGATTGATCCAGTCTCACATAATTCTCCGTATTTCATAGGTTACAGATGATTATTAGAAAGTTAACAGGGGCTACACTATGATATCCTGAAGCGTGTGACCACAATAACGCTTTACTAAGAGCAAAGTAGCATGCCTGAAACTGCTTGAACGGTGTTGTTTCGCATTCTTACACTCTGATGATGAGCCTTTCCTGACCTTCAACACGCCGCTCGGATTCAAAAGACTGGTCAGCCTTCGGATAAAGACTTAAACTCAAGGTGTTAATGGTACAGGATTTCATCAAAGGTGTTCGTTCCATATTTATTGGCTTATTAAATACATCACACAATGAACACATTATTATTCACAGGATTAGACTGTGCAGCATTCCAGGCGGAAACTCCAGGTCGTTCAGAGTGTGAACAAGCGACATAAATGCTATTGGTTCTGTGGATTCATCAAAAGATTGGAGGCTGATACAGAGGCTTCATGAGATAAATTCAAGCAACCAATCTACTATAGTTCTCTATTTAGTATTTTGGAGAGCCGGATGATGATGACCACATACTTGCTCAGTAAAATTATCTAAATAAGCTACTCGGTTGTTACAAATAATGTCTGTTTTACACCCACGTAGCGAAGTGTGTAACCATTTCCACCCGGTAAACTAGTATCACTTCACGAAACTTAGGAATACCACTCTTATCATTTCTAATTCACACTGTTTTAGATGTCGTAGTAGGTCGCAGCTTAAAAATACTGTAGCTGTGGCAGATGGTAGCTTCAGATTCCCATAGGCACTAAGTGAGGCCTTTACTAGGATTGCAAATAAAATGTCCACCACTACATACGCATCTCTGTTGAAGTATTTAGCAGAAAATTGCATCCGGGTGGCCAGTCATTTTCTCGAAGAGGACTTATATATTCTGGAATAGATTCAAAACAAGGCCACATGTGCGATTCCTGATATGGCCAATTTATTACATCAGTACACAGCACTTCATCACTATTATCATGCCACTAGTATAGTGAAGGAGGGTTCTAATATCTCGGAATAGGTGGTAGTAAAGTTCAGAAGTCAACGAATAACTATATCATTTCGGAGTTCTTTTCCTCCTATTGGGTCGTTAACTCTTGGGACTAACACTTAGAGGTGGAGTCTGTGCTGCCAGTCGACTCGTTCGAAAAAGAAGCAGATAGACATAGATATTTACTGAGAGACCGTTAATATAAGCGTGAATTCATCTACCCAAAAATGAAGATCTGAAAATGATATTGGACATTGGGCTGAAAAAACACATAGTATCTAAATATTTGCGTTACTATTTGTGGGGATATCAATAATACTGGTAGGAAGTGAGTTTCACGTCTTTTGTGTTGAAGTAATTTCGAGACTTAACACTACCTCATGAAAGATTCATTTTCCGAACCGAAGAAATTTCCTGTATGCCACGAAATAATGCAGAGTGCATCTATAAAGTTAGTTAGGTTGAACATATTTTTCAGTAATAATCTTCCTGAAAGATGAATTATTTAGAAATGTGATAAGGAATTTAAGTGAAGCCGACAGAGCAATATTGAAGCAATTAGTTACTGGCACATTACTGTACCACGTATTATTTCAAACTTGTTCCGTTGTAAAATGCTATAGGTTTTCAAAATCTTTTTATTGTATTCACTGTTTTATGTAGTTAGGGGGAGATTAAGTACTGTTAATTGTCTACCTCTCTGGAATTAAAGTTCGCCTTCTTGGTTTTGAGTGTGTTACTTGTTGAGTTGAAGTTGTGAAAATTTTGACTAGTCAATTGTAATGTTCAACATTGGTAAATGCAAAGTAAACTGTCAGACACATATTATATAGGGTGAACCAGATAAATGAATATTTCAGACCGAAGTATACAAACGGGACAGTAATTTTTATCCCAATACACTTGTAGTGGATGCATCCGTTGCGGGTTTGCATGTTCCAAGCTAAAAGCCACTAATGATAATATCCAGTCACTCAAGCTAAAAATAAATAGATTGAGACTCAAATTCCACATTCGTTCAGTTGCAGACGTACTAAATTCAATGGACTACAGGTCGCTTACGCCTATGTTCCATCACCAAACACAAAGCGCAGTTGGAATATGTGTATTATTATTTTTACCTATGTGAAGTGCTCACATATGCAACTAGTTCTGGTTTGGATAAATTCATACAATAATTTTTTCTCTAATTCAGTTTCTACAACCGTCAGAAAACGCATTTCAGAAAGACATACATTCGTCCATGTCCAATTACTCCATGTTTTCGTAATACTACTATATATCAGTACTTGATTTAAGGACATCGCGTCTTTTGATGTTTATAATCTATAGTTTCTGCACTTGATCTGGCATTCAGCAATACCAGTAGTATGCTAAAGGATGGGCATAAAGTCATAATGTGTTGGTGGCAAATGGGAGTTATTAACTCTGCTTATTCATAACTCCAGTTCCAAACTGCAAAAACAGCTGTGCAGTACTACCTGGTCTTCGGTGGTTCTCAAGCTGATAGCTGTGTCTGAAAAAACTTAAAAAATATCACATCTCTATAAGCCAACTCTTGACAATTATTCAGAATAATTAGATTTTATTGAAGGCATTACAGCTTAGTTACTCGATATATTTGTTTTTCGTACTTGCTAAGCTATAAGCGATGCATGATGTCTGAAGCCTTACGCTATCACTTCATTACTTCGAGTGAAGTATATCCATGTGAGTTCGTATCACTGAATAGGATATAAACACAGGTCCCCAGTCCCTAACCGAGGTTACGAAAGCTGTCACTTGTCTGGAACGAGGCAAAGCAGAGGGACAGTTTAATGTCTGCGTTAACTAAGGTATTTGACAATATCTGGGAATCAGAGGTATTACCGTTGAGCTGGTGTAAGTCATTGATTATTCCGGTATACATGAAGGGAGACAAGTTTTCCTGTGATAATCACAGGGGCAATAGGTTGACCAATGTGGCATCTAAAGTTCTTGGCTCAATAATCATGCGTAGACTAAGTAACGCTCGGGAGGAACAAACACGAGAGAACCAGGCAGGCTTTAGACCAGGAAGAGAGTGTATTGATCATATCTTCACCCTTCGGCAGACTGTGGAACTTAGACATACCGGCGTTCAACAATCCTTATATTTCTTGACCTGAAAGTGGCATTCGATTTCGTCGACTGAGAGGTACTATAGCGATGTTTGGATGTGAAGGGAATGCCTGGAAAATACATCACACTGATGAAGGCATTCTACTCAATCTCATGCAGTCAGCCAGGTGAGAGCCTATGGAGAGTGTTGACAACCAGTGGTTTCCGTCAAGGATACCCGTCGTCTCCATTTCTATTTAATTTCATCATAGATGTACTAATGGACTTAACTCTAACTGACTTCAGAGATTAACTTGTTACCAGGCAATAATCTCGTCGACTTAGAATATACAGATGACATAGTCCTTCTAGGTGAATATGCTTACAAAATGCAGAGTCTTCCGAACATATTGAGCAGCAATCTCTGAATGCTTGGCATGCGATTCACTCCCGTGAAATGTAAGGTGATGCTACAGGACTGAACTACATCGACTACTCCTAGCTTAAACATAGGGAGTAAAGTGGTTAGTGGAGCGTGTTGACCGCTTCACTTATTTGGGAAGTTGCGTCAGTCAATGCGAGCAGGTTGATAGGTGACAAAATCTCAGCATGGATACAGAAGACTCTTTCATCATACGCCATCTCTGACTTAGTAGACGTGATATCCGGCTGGCTGTCGACCGAATAGCGTGTGTACTGCTCAGTAGTTCGCTCTGTCCTCCTTTATGACTGTGAGAAATGGCCATTAAAAGTTGAAGACATGAAAAGCCTGGCTACTTGTCTTTGATCATAGGTGTCTGCGTTCTCTTTACTGTTATGTGCTATAATAAGGTGAGCAATATTGGGGTTAGGCGTCGGTCGAGTGCTACATAAGTACGGGAAATCAATCGACGAGTTTGTGAAGTTACACCGATTGAGACGGTCGGGACATGTGTCACGCATGCCTATTCATCGCCTTCCTTAACAGGCGGTGTTAGCTAACATAGGATGGATCAGGTTGGAAAGGAGCTGGTGGTGACTAGACGAAAACATGGCTGCATCAGCCAATGAAATCCACAACAGTCAGTTTAAGGCCAGCCACGTAGCAAGGTGTAGACACCTTGCTTAGGGTCCTCAGGATTCTAAGAACAAATGGCTGAAGATAATTGGTGGTGTGCCTGAAAATTGTTCTCAGTGGCTGGCGCAGATGCATTCACTTTTTGTTATTTATCATATCCAACACAATTCTATTGTTTTTCCATATTACTATTCTTTTTGCCTCATATCTCATTATCTCTCTCTTGCATCTCTTCTTACTCTCTTCTTTTGTTTTGTGTGCTGCATGGAAGGAGAGCGGTAACTGGAATTGCTGCAAATCTGTGGAGAGTTCTACGTTGAAACTAGTCAGTCATATCACGCACTTGCCGATCCTAAGTTAACTCCGTGGGTCTATAAGTTACACCATAGTTTTCATAGTAACTGTAGAATGGTATCTGTTTCCTTAGAAGGTTATAGATCTTAATCCTACTTCACCTATGTTTTGAAAGCTTGAGAGTTAAATAAACCGTCATGAAGTATACATCTTGTTGAACAAACCTATTTCTAAGTATTGATTCATGTGTAGTGGAATCCAACAAGCTTATTAGGTTTACTTTGCGTATATCATGAACATGTACTGCTGGGTTTAGAAATGACTACCTGTTTGTTCACTCGATTTTAATAAGTGGCTTACCCTTATTTTTGCATGAACACTTATTCATTTAACCAAGCATTTTCATTCTTTTAATTGAAATGTTATATTATGGAAAGGGTGACTGGTTTCAACGGGTAGGAATTGAGGCTGAAATATATGAGGCGTAGCAAACACCGAGTGTAATAACGATTAAGTAAAAAGAAAATATTGCAAAGGGCTAGTGTTGAAACATATGTAATCACGAGGGTCGTACCATCCATTTTATATTAGATGTATTGGTTTTACAATACTTATCCTTCTTTCTCATACGTTTCATCTAATGAGTATAGTTCATAATTGTTGAAAATCACCAACATATCATTTTAATTGTTGTGGTTGTAACTAATTTCTTTTGTTTGTGGTCTTTCAGGAATGGTAACAGTCAGTCAAGAACGATACGACAGATCTCCATTTATGGAATCAAAACATTCAAGTCCCACTCGAAACGATTATGACAGCATATCGGCTAGTAATTCTATGTATAAAAACGATGAACGCAGTCGACATTCTTATAAAGACAAACGTCCTCGTGGCGAACGGTATTCCCGATCGAAATCTCCAACTTTGTCTGTGAGTCATGGAAATGATGGTCGTCATCGTAAGAACAATGATTTCAACCATCAAACACCAGAGTTTTGGGAAAAACGCCGTACAATGCGCGAACGCGCTGGAGCATCCATGAATTCGCAGATATGGGAGTCGAATCCACCTAAAATGGATTCTGACTACGATTCAGATAATGAGTCTATGCTTCCTGGGGAAGCGTTTGGGCCGAGTCTTCCCACAGATAGGCAGTTATCCAGTAGTCATAAGTTATCTCGTTCACATGAAAAAAAGGATGAACACAAAAGTCATCGTCATCATCACTCGCATCATAAACACTCGAAAAAGCATAAAAAAGCCTCTAAAAAGAGTCACAAACTGAAAAAACAGAAACACAAAACTAAACCTGTCAGTCGAAAATCTTCGCCTTCTTCTCCATCATCAAGCTCATCGTCTTCAGAATCAGAATCTGAATCTTCTGATGCAGATAGTGAAGATGAAAAACAACAATTTATCAAACAAATGAAAGCTAAAAAGCGTGAGCTGGAACGTAAACGTGCACAAGAAGAAGAAGAAGAGGAAGCGGTTGGACCAGTCCTTCCGGTTAATGAACATTCAAGTTTAATTCCACTAGATTATGGTCGGGCATTACTTCCAGGTGAAGGTGCAGCTATGGCAGCCTATATTGCTGAAGGCAAGCGTATACCACGTCGTGGTGAGATTGGCTTGACTTCGGATGAAATCGAGTCATTTGAAAAACAAGGTTATGTGATGTCAGGTAGTCGTCATCGCCGGATGGAAGCTGTACGTCTACGTAAAGAGAACCAGATATACTCAGCTGATGAGAAACGTGCCCTGGAACACTTTAATCATGCTGAACGAGCTAAACGCGAAGCTAAATTACAAGCTCAATTCAAGGCTTTAATTAAGAGGAAATTGGAAGATAAACAGTCAGCTCCACCACCAAGTTGATAAAAGGAAGAGGAAAACATGGATTACTGACCGCTTGAATTCACTAACTGTACAGAAAACATGTGTTTTATTTTGGTTCTCTCTTACTACTTACAAGAAGGGTTCATCTAGTTTTTTTCGAAGTATTTTATAACTGAGGTTGCTTCCATTCTTACTATTTTTCTCTTTTTACGTATGTGCTTAACAGTAACTCCTGTTGGTTTTTTTTACTATAGTAAAGTGACTACATAGTAGACCACTCTATGTATATAACAGAAATACATACGTATATTTCAGCTGACTTGTTGAAATCTTCTTCACTATTGTTTTAATTCTCAAGGATGGTTTAGTGGTTATAAAAAGTCCTTGGTCGTATGGTCGTAAGTTCGAATGATCAGTCGATCCAGCATATATATCACAGTGACGTTACTTTGCATTGTTCAGGCGAATCAATCGATTTACAGCAATAAAGAATGGCAGCATTGCAGTCTAGTTAACTGAATGTTTCCAATCTATGCTGCATTAAGTGTAATTTATAAACCTCCTAGAAGGAGTGAGTGGTAAAATAAATTGACTGTGTAGCATTGTAACTCCAGAAGACAAGGGCCAGGAAACAGATCGTTTATTGAGGAAATCAAGAGATATTTAAATATTCTTATGCACATTATTATTCGTTATTATTAGGAGAGAAATAGCGTCTTCTGATTGGTCGTTTTCCCGCTGAAAGTTAATCTATAATCTTTTTGTGGCTGTTTCTTTGAAGGTCAGGCCATATATCTGCGAATCGTATCCGCCCATGCAAAGTGTTTGTTCTTGTTTTTTTTCTCGTGACCAAGATTCGGGAAGTAAATTGCTGTCTACAAATTTTGGCTAGCAGACAGCTCTCACTACATTATGCCGTTTGTGTATATTAGTAATCATTAAAATAGGTAAAATAAACACTAGACAGTTGATCGCTTTCTTCCGCATTTATATTCTGATCTCTAGACGAAACTCATACATTCTTCGGTAGCTTTGTGTAAACTAATCCCTGTACTGACATTAACACACGACGTACACTTTGCATAGAAATGGATTGATAATGGCAAATATATTGCTATCTTAGCACATAATTGGGTAACACAACCAATTACGATAAACAGGAATATAATTTTAAAAAAAATATTTAGCCAAAGGAATGTACAGAGTATAGATTCCACTCCGATAGGCTACTTTAAGAAGGATAATTCCGTTAGATAATGACTTACGACAATAAAGTAATCGACATCTGCAGATTAAATTATGAGCAGAGAAAGCTACTCAACTATGTTTCATGTAGGTAGCAAACATTTTGGAGTAAATTACGTAAATTTATCTACATTGGTTACATGATTTCAACATCAGCTGACGTCGATTAGAGGACCATTGGAAAACCTACAGGGGGTACTGGACATCTGTTTCATCCCTGCTTGAGAGTCTTCGTCAGTACGCACCCACTGGCAGGGTTGGAACCCAGGACCTTCTGGTTTTAAGGCGAGCTAGCTCGTAGACCATTAAGCCACTCACTGGGACCCGATCCAATGGCCAACCCATGAATTCCAACTTCTGCCAATTCATGATATGGCGCGACCAATAGCCAATGTCATCGGTCGCGAGTATTTGTGCTCACACCCCACCTGCTGTACCCTACTGGTCACGACTCACGAGAGAATAGAAGCTTTCAGTCTACTGTTCCAGTATGGGTTATGTAGACCACTTCACTTTTGTAACAAAAAACTGAAGACAGAAAAATCTTTGGAAAAGTGCATGTTATCTCTTTCACACAACTTGTCTTTTGGAGGTATAAGTTATCACTGAACTGGTAAAATGTTGTAAATTGAGAATTTCATATTATGGCCACCAGTATCGTGATTTCTGCCAAACAAAAAAAAACAGGGAAACGTACTCATCTAATTTAATGATGATGGAAATAAAGTGACGCCTAAAGTAGTGCCTTGCTTTGCAAGAAGACAGTCAAAATAGGGGTTTCGTGCAACTTTACATTTTTAGAAGGGGTAAAGTTACTTCGGACTAGAAGTTTACTTCGACTACCTGACGGCCGGTATCGAAATCGATAATGAGGTTAACGTAAGAAAGAAAGAAAGACTGTTCAGCTATCGACTCCCATCTTCAGCAACCACACAGTTATAATAGCTTATGATATATGTTATAAAGTGCATTCCTGAAGGCTCTACCTTCCGCAGACAATCAACCAACAGAAGAAAAAAGTCTGGATAAAGATTCATATGATGTAGGTTATGTATTTCCAAACAGTTAACGTGTTACCATTCTATGATGAAGACGCACCAACAAGTATATAATTAGAGGAGCTTCAACTTTTAATTCTCGTTTATGTGATTTTATAGATACACTCGTGAGCCGTGAAGTCTGTGCTCGACATATGTAGAATTTGCCCGCATTAGTGAATGTTTTGGTGGTCCAGCGGTCAAGTGCTCGCCAGCCATTCATGTGGTTTGAGGTTCGGTCCTCGACCGGTGCACACCCTTACTTCCCTTAACCAGTACTAAGGTCTATAAAGAAGCAAGGTTGTACATGAGACTAACAACCTTACTTCGCCAAAAAACTCCACTGCTACTAAAACTCCAAAGCTCATGTCTGAAGCCCTATTTTCCACTGGAGACGCATATGAATGAAAAAAGAGTGTTTTAACATAATCAATGAGCAGATACGTATTCACTGCTAATTTCTACTAAAAATTGCTGCACTAGACAGACTTACTCACTCACTGAATTTGTAGTTGTTTTTATTATTACACAGCAGAGTTAAGAATTCCACTTTAGATAAGTTTATTTTAAATATCACACAGTGATGCAGGATTAATAACTCGATGACGTTTCGACCATAAATGATTGCCACTCATAATCATATCAATTTAGTCACACGGTTTCACAATTTATCTTACATATATTTATTCAGACATCTATAAAACACAAAATAATGGAGCAAAGAATATTCTTTTCGATAAATTCCTCTTCCGGCTCTACAATTATATATATGTTTATATACATATACATACACATTTTCTCAGCTTCGTGCCCTTGAAATACAAACGCAATCTGATAAAGTGCTTGGTTCATAGAGCAAGTGCAGTTTGCTCGAACGAATGTCTTGATGAAGAACTTAATAATATTAAACAGTTGCTAAGTGAAAATGATTATCCTGAAAATTTTATTGATAAGAATATGAATCTAAAACCAAAGCAGCTCAAGTTACCAGCAGTTCCAAAAAAAGCCTTATTCATACAAATGCAGTTCCTTGGGGACAACACCAGTGAGATACTAACACAGCGCCTTAGAATTGCGGTAAAATGAGCATTCCCTGCTGCCGAATTACGCTGTATCTTTAAAACCACTCCTCTTTTGCGTTCGGGAGTAAAAGATAAACTGCCTAATTTCGCCTCTTCCATGTGTATCTATCAATTTAACTGCTCCTGTGGAGTGAGCCAGTTACATAGGCCGTACAATTAGGCGTGTTTCTCGTCGAATTTCGGAAAATCACCCTGGGTGGTTAAGCAAAGGACAAACTAAATCTCTTCGTGGCACTATTCTATCACATCTTGTGGATACAGAACACAAGATTGGCGTTAACCATGCTTTCAGGGCAATTTACCGCATACCTACGAATCTCAATTTTGCCTTAAGAGTTCGACTACTAAATATTGGTGAGTCTGTGTAGATCCATATTAATAAGCCTAATTTATGCATCCAAAAGTAGTTAGTTCAGACATTATCATTACCTTGGCCATCTAGGTTTTAATGATCCTCAAATTTTGTGGAATTTTCCTAATCTTAGTTGATATTCTATTTGCTACTTTATCATTATTATTAGTATAATTTAAGCATCTTTAATGAACTGTAATAGCATTGATCATACTTTTCAAATCGATATTATTTAAAAAACACGAATGTTGTTATTAACTACTTATTTAAAATATTCTGCGTATATAAACATATATATATATATATATATATATAATTGTAGAGCCCGAAGAGGAATTTATCGAAAAGAATATTCTTTGCTCGATTATTTTGTGTTATATATATATATATATATATATATATATATTTCTGTCTCTCCAACTTTCCTATGTTGCCAATTTCCATATCTCCAGTATAGGCGTTGCGTCATTCCGACTGCACGTGTGCGCGGAGTTGAATCGATAAGCGGCTACCTAACTGTATTACTTTTTAATACTTTCGCCCTGTCCCACTCTATTTTATGATTACATGCAAGTGAATACAGTGCAATGGCTGAGCTCTGTTTTTTCTAGGTTATTCAACTTATCAGGGTCAATTATCAACGGTCTAGGTAGATTTTTATGTCCCAATAATCTAGTTGACCCCGATCTACTAGTTTGACTGATCTATGTAATTGACCTCACAGTCATTACATGGTATTTGGTAAGTTATATTATTTTTCCTAATTGGATCTATTGGGTCCTTATGCTGACAAAGTTTATCTCTGAGTGAGTTGTTTGGTTGGTTTAAACACCACCCTAATTCCCACCGCATAAGGTGATCTCGTAGAGCATTAAGCCTCTGGAACCCAATCTAATGGCCCATGAATTCCAACTTCTACGAGCTCTTCCTGGGTTCGAACCCTGATGGTGGGTATGTACTGATGGTTAGTCCCAAACTAGGTTGATGAATCAGTTGTTCAATACTCCCAGGTTTCCCAATAGTTCTCTAACTTATGTCAGCTCATGATGAAATCCTACAACTTATCTTCATTTCGTTTGCAGTGTCCGGCAATTGAGATGTTTTATTGAATGAGGATATGCGCTATCGCAAACCAAAATTGCGTTTCAGTGAAAGTGAGTAGGTAGAACGGAGGAGGTCAGTGATGAATTAAATTTCCTCAGGTAGTTAGTTGATTTTGTATTACGAGCCTAAAGGAATGCTATTTTCATAGAATCAGATGTTATGTTTATCTGTTTTTAAGCAGCTAGAATAACATTTGTGATGCTTCCTAAACAATGCGCGAAAAAACACTTCACGATAGCCTTTATCCTCAACGTAATTTTACATCATATATAAGAAAAGGCATTCAACGAAGAGTTGCTCTTTTCGGCTATATCATTATCAAGATGTACAATCTCATATATCGTAAATTCTCTTAGCAACAAAAGGAATATTTCCAAAGGTCTATGATTAGAACTGCAAATTTTAGATAACAAATTGCGTTAATGGTTTAGAAACTAAAGTAAGATTAAATAAGCATGTTGAGTGACGTAATCTAATTGACGGGGTTGAGTAGCATTCAACTATAACTAAAAAATTGAACAAAGGTTAACAGTGGTAATAAGGGTTAGAGATGTAATAAGTGGTGATTGGGTGGGGAAGAAAGTATTATCCACTTAAGAAGCAAACAAGCAAAAGAAATACGAAGCAAAATTTACATATTCGGTTTTAAGATACCACTGTTGGCCGGCTTCATCAATGTGCATCTACCAATTCACCTGTGGAGCTAGGTATGTCGGCCGTATCCAAAGTTTGCTATCCAAACGTATCATCAAACACTTACCGTCTTGTTTTTATAAAGGAGAAGAAAGGTCCCCCGTAAACTTTATTCTGAAACACCTGATAGAATATGGACACCAAAAAAACCAACTTCAATGTTAATATATGTGTAAAACTTGGGCACTGTGGTAGTAACTAATTCCTTATTAGTTTGTTTATTAGATATATCACACAGTGTGAGACAGTATTATTTACCGGATGACGTTTCGAACAAAATTTATTAATCATAATCATATCAATTATAATCACACGACTTCAAAACTTGAGTTTTATAGTTTCCTTTATTGTAACCTATTTGTCGTAGGGGTAGTAGAATTTTCCAGATATCCGGCTGGACAGGTGTCGAATCATTTCTATTACACATGATTGTAGTTGATTCGATAAAGAAAGCTTCTGTTATCAATCTCTCCCTCCAACCTTTTACATTGGATTTCAAAACTGTCATCTTATCCATCCTATTGTATGGTTGTGTGTAACTGCATGTAGTGCTATCTACGGCTGAACTATTCTTTAGAATTCTTATCTCATTCGGGTCAACTAATCGAGATTTTGCTAGGTTTTTATGCTCGGCTAGTCTGACTGCCCCTGTTCTACTAATTAGTCCTATGTATTTGACCTGACAATCATTCCAGAACGGCATTAGATAAACTAAACTTTTTTGTTTAATTGGCTCCACAGGATTTTTTAACTGAAAAGCTTGTGTCTAATTGAGTTTGTGGGTTTGAATGCCAGCCACTTTTATTCCTGCTTTGTTAAGAATTCTGCGTAAGGTTTCCGAGGTTCCTTCCTTGTATGGAATTACTACTGATGATTTAGATTCCTTATTGTTGGTGTTGCCATTATCCTGAGCATGTTTGACATGCATGTCATCATTAATATTATTATACTATATATTTTATTTTTAAATTTCCCTACATACTTACTGACTAATTTATCAGGGTAAGTGTTAGGTTTCAAAGCTTCTCTTATGTGCCTCACCTGTCTTAGATTTTCCCTAGACATTTCACCAATCCTATTTTTACTGACAGAGGATGGGATGATCGAAAATCTAAATACCTGTTTGAATGTGTGGGTTTCCTGTAAACACTAGTGTTCAACTTCCCATCTTCTTTCCTTTTTACGCTACAAACTAACATTTCTTTTGCTTCTTAAGTGTATAGTAATTTCTTTCCCCAACCCATCACCACTTATTAAGTCTTTACCCCCTATTACCACTTTTGACTTTTGTTCAATTTTAATTATAGCTGAGCTTTACTCAACTCCGTCGATTAGATTACGTCACTCAACTTGCTTATTTAATCTTACTTTAGTTTCTAACCCATTAACGAAATTTGTTATCTAAATTTTGCAGTTCTAATGACAAATCTTTGGAAATATTCATTTTGTTGCTAAGAAAATTTACTATATTTATATGCGATTGTACAGTTTGAGAATGATATCGCCGAAAAGGGGAGTAACTCTTCACTGAACGAACGAACGCCTGTTCTTTTGTAAATTTAATTCTTGGACATTTACTAACCTACTTTAAACCTCTTATAATACCAGTGCACTTCTTTAATAATCTTTTGTAAATCTGTAATTCATCCAAATCAATTCATACTTCAATCAAAAATAGTACGGTTCTCTTCTTATTCTTGACCTATCTTACACATGTGCCTTTTCCGTTGGTAGATTCTTAAAGAATGGCTTTGTTCACCTAGCTCCATTATGGATAAGATTTTATTTTGATAAATCACACAGTGTTATACAGTAATATTAACTGATGACGTTTCGAGCACAAATTATTGCTCATAATCATACCAAGTTACTCACACAACTTTTTCCTTCATTTATATATATGTATGGAATTGACTAGATATTTGAATAAAAATCAATATGAGATAATGTACATTCAGAGATAATAATATGATTGTTGTTGATCAATTACAATCAGATGGGAAATACGACGAGTGTTTTTATAGTCATAATAAGTTAATTGTTAGAATGTTATGATGTGCTTGAATTGAAATAGAGTTTTGAGATTATTTATTTTCCTCTTCTGATTTGACTGGTGGTAATAATATCTTCCATATTTCTGGTATTTGCATTGAGTCATTTCTGTTGCATGTGTTGGGTGTAGATTCAATGAACCAGGATTCAGTAATCAATCTCTCTCTCCACCTACATAGATTACTTCTTAGAATCTTAACCCTCTCTCACCCTATTGCTATTGCATGTAGTGCAATTGCTGAGCTTTTTTCTAAATTACTTATCTTCTCGGGGTCAACCATTCTTACCTTGACTAAATTCTTATGTTCCGACAATCTGATTACCCCCGATCTACTAGTTTGACCTATATAGTTGACCTCACAGTCATTACAAGGTATTTTGTAAATTATATTATTTTGTTGAATTGGGTCCACCGGGTCTTTTAGGCTACAGAGCTTGTCTCTGAGTGAGTTTGTAGGTTTGAATGCCACCTAACTTCTAAATACCTAACAGTGAAGATTAAATCTAGCTGTCTCTTTAATGATTCGCTGTTTGTGGGCCAGTAGTAATAACCACAGCAAATAGAACACCGGAAACTATTATCCGAACATCAAATGAATCATACCTCAATGGCAAATTAAAACATACTTATATCTCCTTTCTATGAATCAAATAAAAAACCAAGTCAATTGTGAAAGCATTCAAATAAAAAAAAGCTTTAATGAGAGCAATACATTATGATCAGGTACAAGACAAGTGATCACAAAGCTTATCTGTCAAATTTCTCTTTTCTTTTTTTTTTCAAAAAAAATTATAAATCCATTAAAAGTTTTTAATCTTTGAAAACTTTGATTTTTTACCACTTTTCAACCCACCACTACTAGCCTTCATCATCATTGATGATTTCATGCCTTTACTACTGCCCCCCTGGATTCGTTTCCGTTTCTGTCTGCCGAGACCAACTTCTCTGAGTAGACGTCTACGTTCAAGTGGGGTTATTTTTTGACTCGTTGTATCACCTGATTTGCCTATACCAGCACCGAGTGGGACAAATGCATACGGTTCAGGCATACCACGTCGTTTCATATCACCTCTGGCCTTTGTTGAGGCATAAACACGACCAGGGATTTGTAGACTCTTTTGTTTTCTGCTTTTCATTAATTTGCTTTGTTGATAATGAGATGTAGCCGGTAGACTGCTGTCGTCATTGTCGTCATCAGATAGAGCCCATTCTGTGTAAGAAAAAAATAAATAGAGAATGAACGAACTGACAAACTCTGAAAAAGGATCTATGCTTATGAAAATGAGATCACGTTACTAATATACACATCTTAATTTAGTTTGGAACAAAAACAGGTCAATGAGTCAATAGGAAGGACATGTCAGTACAACTTCAGTTCGATATTGTTCGAGAAAAGCCCCCCCCCAAAATATTAGATGTACACTTAACAGTTACAATGTGTTAACCAATCTAATTCAAATCCATCCATCCCCTATAACAATTATTATTACTGTTGCTCCCTTGGGTTCCGAGTGGAACATAAGGTTTCAACAACACATATTCATTTCATCTTGTTCTCTCAAATCCTCTTCATCTGGTTCCACGATCGCTAATAGCCCCTCATCTAGTCCTCACCCGACCCCCCTCCCGATTTCACCGTTGGATGTCCCACTTGTCGTTTTCCACTCGGCTTCAACACGAGCGATATCCTGTCGCGAGGTGTCATTTGACAGTCTCCTCACAATGTGTGTCCAATCCACCTCCATTTTCATCCGCAAATTTGTTGGGCAACGGGTTCTTTGTTGATTTACTCCCAGAGTTTCCTGCTGCCAATTCTTTCTGGTCTGTCATCTGACCTTCAGTATGCATAAAACAAAGGCAGCTGTTGGTGAAAGTCTGCAGCCTATTGAAAATGCTTTTGGTGACACGCAGTGCAAGTTTCGAATCCAAATAGGAAAATTTTGTTCTTTATGATGACTGAGTGCAGAAGATTTCCAAATTAGTTTCATTTTGATCAAGGCGTATCTTGCCTTTCCGATTCTGGTTTTGACATCCTCATCCGTGAAGTCAGCTGTAGTTGAAACGATGCTGCCTATCCGGATAAGTGAAGGAAGTAACCTCTTTCAAATTTCTTCCGTTGATAATGACTGGCGCTGGTGGTGGTCGTTTGTTTTTATCACCTTCGTCTTCTTTGGGTTCACGTGAAGTACCGTCTTCTGTGGCTGCTTCTTCAACCATTTAGTTGGTTTTCGCCTGCCTGTAAGTCTTCGAGTTTGTGTGACGTTAGACATAAAGTCATCCGCGAATTCCAGATCTTTTAGAGTTTCCTCATTTATCCAGCGTATTCCTGCTTTATCGCCCCCCCCCCCCCAATGACTATAGGATGTGATAATTCAGATGCGTGAAACAACTTACCTAAACATGACAATCCAACATTACTCGTCGAATGGAAAGTCCGCACAACTTTAGAGAAATTTCTGTTGTCATGGAAACCTGAGTCTACATCATACTGTGCAGAATATGAAGATTTTATCACTAAACAATTGAAGTCTTGAGAAAGACTGCATCGACTAAATTTCCGCAACACAACTTATCAAGAGATTAGAAGCTAACAGCTATTATCTATCTTTTTGTAAATTAAAACCCTAGTCTGACCACATTGGTCCAAGAAGTTGGCTGTTAAATACCAGTTGGTGCATAAACAGTGAACACCAACCTATAATATATATACATAAACAACATGAGAAGTAGAGGTCAGGGGAACACAAACTAAAATCATACAACTGTACAGATCTTATATACTTCCTGATGACTTAACCTGAAAGGAAGATGCAATAACTAGACGCTTATCAGGAACTCAGTATACTGTACAATAATAGACGCTCTTCTAGTAGTATGTAGCTATGACACATAACTAGCACAGATATAAAAGCTTTGATCCTTGTAGCCTTCATAAAATGTTTCACATATGCTTTAATTGGACACTTCATCGATGACATTCTGGAGTCAGTTCTGAAGGATGCGTGTGAAGATGGTGTAGATCTGTTCCCTGGAAATAGACTTGTTAACCTCGTCTTACTGTGCGATAGCATGCAGGCTGCTCAAATTGCACGTAATCAGTTGGCGATCAGTGTCCGTAAGCATGGTATGTGCTTTGCACCGTCTGAGTGCAAAGTACTGTTACACGATTGGCAGGAGCCTGTACCTGCACTCACTCTTGCCGGTGAACTGCTTGAAGTTGTTGATAAGTTTGTGTACCTCGATAGTTGTGTGAGTGCTGGTGGAGGGGTGACGGATGAGATTTCCAACCGTATCATGAAGGCTAGGGTGGCATACATCAACTTGAGCCACCTATGGCACCGTCGCGACGTTAGCTTGACTGTCAAATGCTTCGGTGCAGGCTGTCTTGGTCTACACCTGTGAAACCTGGTCTCTCCTAGCTGACGATATGCGGTGGCTTTGCGTATTCAATCATCGCTGTCTCCGCAGGATTGCTTGCGTTCGATGGCATTGTCGCGTGAATAATTCCGAGGTTCGGCGGCGTGTGTTTGAACACAGTGGAGATCACCATTTGTTGAGTGGCGTCATCTGGAAACGCCGGCTTCGGTGGCTTGAACATGTGTTGCGAATGTCATCCCAGAGGCTTCCGTACAGGTCTCTGTTCGCTAACCCTGGGACGGGATGGAAAAGGCAGAGAGGTGGTCAGTCAATGACGTGGCGTCGTGGCATGAAGGATATTTGTGCTAGGTTAACATCGGTTGGTGCGTCACGTCTCCCTGGTTGGAGTCCGAGAGATAGCTCGAATCAACGGCTCGAAACGTTATCGGATATGGCCAAGAATCGTAATCAATGGCGAACGTACTGCAATTTCCTTCTTTCTTCCCTTCCTGATGATAGTTAATGAATACTGTTTGATTTTGTTAAGTATGTCTGTTTTCCTTCCAGATGAAGTTCCTTATCCGTTCTCTGCTTATATTTTTACTTTTAGTCTCTGTTGTTTTATTATTATTATTGTGTAGCGCATCGTCTTGGTGCCATATTGTACCAAGTTTTTCTGTGTTTAAATAAATAAATAATTGGACACTAATTAGTAACTAGTATCATCCGTCTAGTCGTTTATTGATTCAATGCAGATTGAATTCTATCACCTTTGCTAAGTGGCTCGAAATCATGGTACACCCTGAATTGTTGTCCATTAGATGGTTGGAGGCAATCGGCAGCACTCGCTGACCTGAGTTTCTTCCTTCAAGACTGCAGATACACTCTGCTGACGAGTGTCAACAAGCACGAAACCTAGGTGTAGTGTTTCACATATACATCAACGACATAATAAGCAATCTACTGCTGTTAATAGTTCAGGACTGGGTAGATAAGTCAGAAATTAGAGGATACAGAAATAAGATCTACTTAGAAAATAAAATAACTCCGCACTTACCCGAATTATCTTTCTTATTAACCAATTGGCTTTCATCGACTGGATTTCCAATTACAATTTTACCATTCACAATGGGGAATGGTTGACTACGTTCAACTACTTCTGAAGAAGAAGAAGACTGTTGAACTAATGACTTTCTGAAAGCATTGACCATTGCTTTCGCGGTAACATCATCTGGTGCAAAAGCTGTATGTCGTGCCAGTGATTTAGGATCAGACAGATCTAAAATTTCTGAATCATTCGGATTCTCTACAAGCCAGAGATCAGAATCAGTAACCGCTTGATGATGATGATGTAATGCTGTTGATGCTAATTGTTGGGCGGCTTTCTGTGAACGTCTCGATAAATGACTACGAGTTGTCGAAGCACGACTAATTGTATCAGCAAAACGGACTTGCTGTTTTGATCGAAGAGGATGTTTACACACGGCTTTATTGATTGCCTCATCATCTTCACTACTATCAATATCAATATCCATGTCAAAGTCTTCTTCAAGAGATCCATTTTGCAGGAAGTTTTTACGTGATCGTCTGCACAGTCCTGCTGTTTGTTTAACATTTTCTAGTTCTTCTACAAGTGACATTGGATGCTTAGATGATAAAGCATCATGGGATTTTGTTTGACTTCGTATTGATTTTGCTCGTGAGTGTACTGAAGCACGATCAGATTGTGATTTATTTTTAAGGAAGTTATTATTTTCATCGTCATCACTTGAAGAAGCTAACAGTTCATCCATACTTAACAGAGAAAAAATCAATAGAAAGAGTTGAATGAAACATTAATACTCAGCACATATATATTGTGCATTTTACGAGAACACGGACGATTAATCTATTTAGGTTTAAGTACTGTAGTTTAAATGGGAAAGCTAACAGGTTCCTTCACTTTGCTCCTCTAACATAATAGTTAAGGTTCCTTCTGCATTAATCAACGTTAAAAAGGGATTGATTTTTCTCTATGAAAGAGAGTGAGGAAATATAGAAGATCATGGTATCCCAGATAACTGTGTGGAGGTCGGGGTAACCGAGTGGTCTAAGGTGCTAGAGTCAGGAGTAATTTTCTGGTCCACAATGTAGGCGTAGGTTCGAATCCCACTTCTGACCACGCGTTCTGGGGTTTGATCCACGGCCAACGCACTTCTAAACCTCGCTAAGCCAGTAATAAGACCAGTAAAGAGGGAAAGTTGACCGTGAGACCTCACCCTGTTAAAATAAAACAGCTGCTACCGAAACTGCAAAGCTCTAGCTTGGAGCCATATGTTTCACTCGGAATGTAAAGCAATAAAATAAATAAAAATAAGATAACTGTGTGACACAAGGTTGAGACCTGAAACCTAGAACATTAAGTGTCTCCTCCACAAAACAATATTTTTCATAATAACATTTTGTTATAATCTAGTGGACTGGTTTTCAGGGAGTTGATACATGAAGTTTTGAGTGACCAGAATATTTAGTACAGATTACGTTTCAATTCACGTGGATAACTGCAGGTTTACTTTGTAGGTAGATAGAAAGAAGTGGTAACGACGCTACAAATTAAGACTAAGACTCCCCACTTGATACACTAAGGTCATCTGACAACTTCAAAGGTTTCTGCAAAATCTAATGCTCACCAGCGAGTGGCCCTATTCAGGCACTTACGTGGGGTTCTAGTGGGAAGCCGTGACCAGCAGGGTGCAGCAGGTTGAAGATGAGGCAGTAACTCATCGAAGAAGACATTGCGAAGTGGTCGCACTATGTCATGAATTGGCAGAGATTAGAATTCATGGGCTAGCCATTGGATAGGGTCCCAGAGAGTGGTTCAGTGGTCTGCAAGCTAGCTCGCCTTGTAACCAGAAGGTCCTGGGTTGAAACCCTGCCGGTGGGTGCGTACTGATGAAGAGTCCCAAACTAGGACGAAACAGCTGTCTAGTACTCTCAACCTGTTTTCCAATGGTTCTCTAACCGATGTCAGTTCATGATGAAATCCACCAAAAAATCACTTTTGACGTTGCCTAAACTGACCATGAGCAGATATGCCGGAGGAGATTGTAAAACAGAACCAGTGTGCGCCCACTTATCTCATTGTCTTACACACCAATCTCTAATCTGGACAGCACTTAGATAACTTTCTACTGTGAACCACTCGGGCAACAAAATCACTGGTATTTCTACACGAAATACAACAGAAGAACATCTCAGTTACACTACCCCCCCCCCCGTAAATGCTTAGGGATTATTAATGTGAGCAAAACGTAAAATTCTATAAGCAGACATAATAATATATATTAACAACATACCGGGTTATATGAACTCGTTTCGGTAAACGTGATGATTTACTGCGAATTGATGATACAATACTTTTAGTATCATTGATTAAAGATTTTCTTGAATTATGATCAGAATCACTGTCTGATAATTGTTGATGTAGAGAACCAAAAATCGATGATGATGATGATAATGATAATGCTGTTGATTTCGATGTCGATTTCTCTAGAGCTTTTGATTTACGTTCACGACGAGCAATAAGTTTAGCTGAATTACGAACTATTTTCTGGTGCTCTGAATTCAACAGGCCTTGAATAGCTTGACGTCTATCAGGATGATAATAATAATAATAATAAGCAAGAAATAAGGAATTCAATAAGAAGAGTCATCAAGAACATATAGGAAAATATCTGTCTGATGATAAGTATCTGTAAGTTCGGTGATAGAGAAAATAATATAACGGAAAAAATATTATTGATTTATAATGCGACTCCTTTTTTTTGATTACAGCTTGATTCCACACCGTATTTTTTGGTAATAGTATGGAATTTTCAGCATGCGATATCGGTAGCCCAAATTTTGCAGGCCAACCATAGATATCAGGTGTGCGTCGGCAGGGGATCGAACCCCGGATCATGTACATGGTGGTCGGAGAAAGTCCTAACCACTGTACCACCGACGCACATCCAATAGGACGTCTACACTCCTGTCGGTCAAAGTGATTGATTATTCCACGTGAAAATGTTACGACCAAGTCATAACTATCACAACGACATAAAAACACTTGTTAAAATACAAATATTTGTTCTCAAAAGCTAGATAAAAAATAGCAACTTTACAAGAGTTGAAGAATGAATTTCGTTTTTACTTGTACAATGAGATGACTAAACAGTTGAAATCAATCGAATAGCCTAGGTACCCCATTTTTAAGACCAGTTTATCCAGTCTGATAGAATTACAAATTCTCGCAAAACAGGCGTAGATCACTGCCAAATATAATGATATATGAATATCCATGAGTTAGATTTTAGGGTCATTGATTGTTTCAGGTTTGATTACAGATTGATACCGGTTAAGGAATCACTGAAAACCAGGGAGTATTCGACAGCTGTTTTTTTCTCCCTTGAGACTCTTCAACGCCACACACCCATGACCCTTTACTGGTCATACCAAACCGATTAAGCGAATTTAACGAGTGTACCGGTCGAGAATCGTACGCCGGACCACTTGGGTGATCGACGAGTATTCTACTACGACGTAATGCAGACTAAGAGAACGAGGCCGAAATTGAAATCAACAGTGTAAGAGTCAGTGATTGCGGAGGTAGAGGTGTCTATTCCTCGAATCTGGATTTAGTCTACGTTGTGGACAGGAAACAACACTGGACAACCTGTTTAATCTTGGGTCAATCGCTAACCAATCAGAACATTTTGTTCTCCTCTAACGTAGCCGAAATTCAGTGTAACTAAGATGAATGTATAAATATAGTGTATTTTTCCTTAATAAAGGTCCGCTATCCAGTCTCTTATCTTTTCTTATTACACTGCCACTAGACTATCAATGCACACTGCGTACATTTTAGCAGTTGGCGGCCTCTGTTAGGAAGCTATGGAGTTAGCATACAAAAATAATCAAAAAAAATAGATATTGTAGAGCTAGATTCGGTCAGTATTTTTGAATTACACATAACACACTATCAATGTCCAAGTTTATAATATACATTTGAAGTTGGAAAACGTTTATTAACTAATTAATTAAGGTAAATGACCAGTGCAGCATTTTAAATTCCTCACAAGAAACGACAAGTATATTAGGAATGAAGGAAACAACCTATTGACTGAGTTTTAAAATGTTACTTAGCACAGAAGTGCAGCAGTTGACGTTGTCACACTCCATGTAGCCTACAAATGTAGACAACAGAAAGAAAGATTCAAAAGAACCATAATAAGCAGAGAAGTAAGGGAGAAAGAATAGTAACACGGAAAAAATGGTGGATTAATGGACATGGCAAATCACAAAGATTGAATGCATTGGCACCAGCCATTGAGAAAATTTTGAGCCATATCACCAACTGTCTCCAGCCTTTATGGATCTAACCATCCTGAGGACTCCAATCAAACAGCTTGAACTAACTGTTGTGGATTTCATTGACTGATGAAGCCGTGTTTCCGTTTGACCACCACTAGATTTCTCTTTTTCAACCTGATCCATAATATGTCAGCTAACATTACCCGTTGAGGAAGGTGATGGCTAGACAGGCATGCGTAACACATGTTGTAACCGTTTCAATCAGTGTAACTTCATCATCTCGTCTATTGATTTCCCGTCCTTACGTAGCACTCGACCGATGCCTAACCTCAATATTGCTCACCTTATTATACCGTTTAACACGGAAGATAGAAGGCAGACACCTATGATCAAAGACAGCTGGCCTTTTCACACAATCAACCATAAAGGAGGAGAGAGAGAACTTCTGAGCAGTACACACGCTCTTCGGTCGACAGTCAGCTGGATATCACGTCAACTAAGCCAGAGACAGTGTATGGTGGCATATGGCAAACAAGCCTTCTGTATCCGTGCTGAGATTTCGTCAACCATCAACCCTCTAGCGTTGGCTGATGCAACTCCTTAAATAAGTGAAGTGGTTAGCAGGCTCCCCTATTTCACCCCCTATCATAAGGCTAGGAAACGATGTAGTCCAGTCCTGAAAAGAATCACCTTACATTTGACAGGAGCAAATCGCACACCAAAAACATTTAAAGGTAGCCGCTCAAGGTGTTAACATCTCCATCTAGGAGGACTATATCATCCGTATGCTCTAAGTCGACAAAAACGTTCTCTGGTAAGTAGAAATCAAGCACACTGTGAATATTACTGTTATGTAATAAAAGGTAAATTGATTGTTTACTTACCCAAACTTCTTTATCATCTTCTCTAGAATTGACTTTACCACAAAACGCAAAGGTCGTTTACATGTGGGATGGATGGACTGTAGAGTTTCAAGCTGTGAAATAATAATAATAATCATGACACTATAATTCATAAGGAGGATATGTTGGCTTGATAGAATTTTAGCACAAAGTCTGATGCGGTTACCAAGTAGCACTCTAAAGTAATGAAGCAAAACCGCTAAAACTAGCGGTTAGTTCGCTGAAATGTAACTCCTCAGATACTAATTACTATTATTACTCTTGGCAAAATATAAGCATAACCTTTACACAGAAAAACCACGACAGTATTATGTCATTTGAGATGGGCAAACTCAACACTTTACGTGGGTGTGGATAAAGTTAGGATCGCTTGTGCCAAACAAATGTAGGAAAGAATTTGAAGATTAGACAAATTCAGTGAATAAGCATTTCAGGTTTAGAGATACTTATATAGTGTATATCTCCTTAGAAATGAATATAAAAGCAAGACTTCTCCGTAGACGGATTTCGAAGTCTCTCAGTAAAATATACTTCGCCACCAGCCACCTACGAGTAACATTCTCCTGCAAGAAACTACTCACCCAACACGTGAAAGACAAATTGTCGCATTGGGCCACTTCAACATGCATATGCAAGTCAACTTGCTCGTGTGGAGCCGGGTACGTTGGCCGTAGCATGCGTCCGCTTGTAAAACGCGCTCGGAAACACTATCCAGCACGGTTAGTTAGCAAACTTACTTACTTTACTTTACTTCGGCTATCTCCTACGGGAGGATGAGCCGGCTTCATGAACATCTCGAGTCATCGCTGCCCAGGCGCGGCGATCTGATGAAGAGAGTTCATGAAGTTTCATGGGAATTTGGTACGAGTGATGACCCCAGAATCGCTCGGCCTTTTGTTTGAGAGTGCAGCTCTAGCCTTTACACAACCGAGTGTGACCTACAAGGCAGTAGGAGTGGAGTAGGGAGTCCACTATCCATTGGCAGCCAGTGACCGGAGTTCGGTTCATACGCCTTTTTGAATGGGGCCAGACATCCAGGACATCCAACAAGCCCTTTGTCCATACGTCTGCGGTGAGCTCCAGTGAGCTTCATACGCCAGTCGTTGGAGGTTTGGAATCAGGGTTTAGCCATCTCCCCTAGACTGTCATCCATTGGACAGTCAACCCGGTGAAGAGCGCCGGGCATCCGCTTTCGCCCTCTCACTTTGGTGAAAAACACCTCCGCCACGTGAAGGCAGTGAGTAGGGCTTCCTCAGGAGAGGCTATGTAAGACGCCCGGTCATATGGGAGCATTTCAAGAGGTGTGCGGAGGGGTGGCCAACCCGCAGCGCAAGGCACCCACTCCCGACCATCGTGAGGCTTTGGAGGCAGAACACAAAGGGGGTATACAGAAATAAACACAAAAAAGTAATGGAGGAGACACGGAAAATGAACACACACACACACACGCACACACATGCATTCTTTAACTTACCACAGAAGCTAAACTGATGCAGCCTTCTTGAATAAAGGCAATAAGTGAACGTGACAATTGTAATCCTAAACGAATTAATACACGTTGAGGAGATTTCACTAAATTTTGGCTGATTAAATTCACTTCATTTAGTATAATAGATACTAATTGACAAATTTCTTCTGATTCTGAATCGATATTTAAAACGAGTGCCTGTCTAAAACGTGTATGCTTCATCAGTAGACAGATAGCACGAGCTGATGATTGTTGTAAGGCTAAATCAATTGAATTTTCAGCGGAACGATTATGCGGTGGAAGACATGGCCATAAACGTGATAGGACTAGATTTAAAGCACGACATATCTAAGATGATGGTATAAAAGAGACAAAGAAAAACAAACACAACATTCATTAACTTTGATCATATTGAGAAAGAGGAAAATGTATGCAAGCAATAACACGCATATAATTAACTGCTTGACTCGAACTTATCTACTACAAACGCGTACAATCGTTGTTTTGGTGAGCGATAAGAGCACATTTAATGCTACACAAAGAAATCAATTATAGCAGATGAATGACGCTTATTTTCCGTTCAGGAAACTAAATGTCATAAGTAATTTATGAAGAGTCCCACACCAGGACGAAATAACTGCCCAGTACTCCAAACTGGTTTTCACTGGTTCTCCGACTGACATTAAGCCGTGATCGAACGTGAAACAAATCTTCTCCCTGCAAACTCATAACTCATAAAAAATAATAGCTTTATTGTGAACAGTGGTTATTAAAAAAATGTACAGAATTCGCATGAGAATTTATTGCATAGTGTTTCGTCTTCATCCGGCATCTTCAGTTGAAACAATAATTGATGATAGACCGTCTGACGCCATGCCTTCTGATCTGTAGCGCAAACCAATCCTTAATGATATTTCTCCTTCGAGAAATGCAAGATACTTAGTTGAAAGCCAACTAAAAGGAGTGCAGGAGTACATTTTGCTTATTCTGGTCTAAATACGTTCATTTTAAGAGGTATGAAGACATTGAAAATGTGAATCAATTGAGTTTAAATTAATGTATACTATTTTGTGGATGACGCTTACACAAATTATACGATTGTATTTCCCGGCATAATTACACTGAGGATCGTCAGATATGTTTATTACTTAAGAATTGTAACGACAAAATAAAAGACCTAAGATTTTTTTTCTGTTTCATTTATTCCTGTATTATTTTGGCGACGGAGTTGTTGGATTCCTCAACCTTGGATAAAATTCTGAAACAACCAGTTTAGTCCAATCTGGATGCCACAGTTGTCCTGAAACCAATAAAGTTCGCCAGACGCCACACCCCTGTGCCTACCTCAGACGTCTAGCGTCCTCCCAGTTACTCACGCAATACCAATCGACAGCTACATCATCCTGCTGGCATTCTTAAACTCTTGTCTGCGTAAGCAACACCGATGCTAATACTGCAAGGAGGTTGGACAAAAAGATGGTATTAGTCAGCAACACACAACAGCTATCCTCGATAAGTCACTGCAGATGCCATTCCCAATCAGCACCTGGCTGCCGAGAATTCATTAGTCTTCAAACTCTCGGTCGGTCGGTCGGTCGGTTTTCGACATAGAACTTTGCACATATGTGCGGCAGTCCAAGTCGCCACACTCCATGTAGCACACAAAGCAAGAAAAGAAAGTAGGAGAAATGCATAATATAGACAGTAAACAGAAATGTGAGACAAAGGAATAGTAATAACGGAGAACAAAACAGTTTAATTGGAAAGTATAAGTCACAAGGAGTGGATGCATCTGCGCCACTGACAACAATTTTGAGTCATGTCACCAATTGTTTCCAGCCATTGGTTTTAACTGTCCCGAGGGCCCCAACCAGGAAGTCTACATCTTCCTACGTGGCTTAGATTAACTGTTGTGGATTTCATTGATTGGTGCCATGTTTTGGTTTGACCGCCGCTAGCTCTTTTCCAGCCTGACCCTATATCAGCTAACATTGCCCGTCGAGGAAGGCGATGACTAGGCATACGTAGCACATGTCCTAACCATCTCAGTCGAAGTAATTTCACCGTTTTGTCAAACTCTACGTCCTCCAGATAGTTCTACGCCTGTTTCCCAAACAAAGAAACCTGAGCCAGGAGCTTTATTACCAAAAGTTGACGCGAAATTCCCCTGTCTCGAACAACAAGCTGTTCTCAAGCGTGACACAGCTTCTCACCCTCTGATGAGGACGACGTAACAAATGATCCACACTTTTCAGTAAACAATAGACCACTCCCTCGAAATCGGTCAGTAAGGTGCAGAAAAAATACGACGATTCTAGGTTGACTACAAGTAATACATCTTTCCTAAAGCGAGACATGATATGCAGACAGATAAACAGTGAATTACCCCTTATTAGTGATAAAGGGATCAAAGTAAGTCTGGAAGCAAGCCAATTTGAATTGGTCAACGTAAAATAACACCCACTATTTTACTGATCATAAATACAGACTAATTGACATATCCCCTTGGTGATTTTTTGAAACATAATTCATTGGGCAAAACATACTGTGGCTGAGACTGAAATATGTTTTCCAGCCTACGTCGTTGTGTGTTGTTGTTTAAGTAAAGCAAACTGGGGAACAAGGAGCTGACGGATTACTTGTGTAACACACAACTCGATTAATTTCATTCGTTATCTGTCATCTGGTGAGACATCACAAGCATAACCATCAGTAAACATCATCAATAACAGGGTGGAAAAAATATGTCAGAGTAGGTTATGCAGTCCTGCAATTTTTTTATTCCTTCACGTTCCCAGTGGAACATAGGGCTTCAAGCTAGAGGTGCGAAGTTTTTGTAGCAATGGTGTTTACTTTTACGGGATGGGGTTGCTAGCCTCATGCCCAACCTTCCCTCTTTGCCAGTTCTATTATTGGCTTAGCGAGGTAAAGGAGTGTGTCGGCCGGGAACCGAACCCCGAACCATGTGCATGGTCGGCGAGCGTCCTAACCGCTGTGCCACCGACGCAGTCCTGCATTAAGCTGATCAAATTAGAAGCCGTCAAGTCTATAATTCGCTGATCATATGGTACTGTGAGTATTTCTAAACAGTTGAATCAACTTTTTTAAGAGTTAATAATATTCACAAAAATTATTATTCTCTATATCATACAATCGCCAAATGGGTTACAGAAGTCCTTACATCTGTGAGAAATTCTTTATAAAAACACTCCACAAAAAGGTCCATTTGATCTTGTTAACATACTCAGCCCTATGAACATTAAAGAAAAGGGTATGTATTCAACAGACATAAAATTTTTGTTCCCCAATATTCCACTTCACGAGGTTTGATTTCATTTGCGATCAGATCACAGTTAGTGAAATATATGTCCTTTTATCTGTCACTTACTTACAGTATAGATACGGTTTCGAATTCTACAGGAAATATCGGATTCGATTCCCAAAAGAAAGTATACAGACAAATTGATAGTGTTACAATGGGAAGCCCTCTTAGAGCCCCTGTTACTAGATGTACTTATGTCGAAATCGGACAAAGAAATGAAAGGTATGTAGCAAACTTTACGCTTTTTTAAACGTCGGATGTGGACAAAATGCGGATGATTATTGGTAACAATAATGAGTAGATTGACAACTTCATTACTCTATTTAATGAAATTAATCCAAATATTCCAGCGATTAAGCGATAAATATTTTCCAAGGAGACATGAAGTGGACAATATCTTCATTTAAACAGTTTCGTTGACATCCGGTAGAAATATTCCCTCATGAAATGCCTGTTTTCAAAGGCCCGTAAAATTTGCGCCAGCGACACATTAATGGATCAGCTATGGTGTATACATTCAGCTCTGCTGAATAATGGATATCCAGAAAACTTCACTGAATGTCACAGTAAAAAGAGACTGCTCCTTGAAAAGACAGCTCCCGTATCAAAGAAAGCTATCTTTATTAAACTACCATTTAAGGATGATCGAATCATGCCAGTGACTGCTCAAAGGCCTCGGTCAGCTAACAATCGCAAATTCTACGCGCCGCATCCCTTTTTCTGACATCTCGAACCTTTTTAATTCGTGTACCTACGATTAAAGGACGAAATTCTGTGAACTCTACTTCATACCTTATCTACAAGTTCACCTGAAATTGAGGTGACACACATACAGGTAGAACTGATAAAATGTTCCAATGGCCTCAGGAAGGACATGTTCCTAAGTAAATGGTTATTAAGTCACATAGAAAACCTGAAAGTACTTAATCTGAAAAGAAACCCAGCATCATCTATTACAGAGCACAAAATCAATATTAATGACTACCTGTCAATTATTTCAACGTTATCAAAGGTGTACAGAAAACAATGCACCTCAACCTTTTGCTTACTATGACCTGCCTGACCTACTATAATGATTGATCGGTTATTAGTACGTAATTTCATTTTATATGACTGAGTAATTGTCATACATTTTATTTTATTGTAGTGAACCATGCTAGTTGTAAAGCAATCGTAAAGAAACTGCTAAATGATATAATTTCGTGACACTTGTCTTCTTAAAGGCCCATTTAGACTGGAAACTAACAGGAAGAGAAGTGGACAGGCATATAATTCCATATTAAAATATTTATTGGATATATTACATAGGGGACTAGTATCATTTCGTGAATAACGTTTTGAACATAATTTGTGGTTCATAATCATAATGGCGGCTCAAAACATCGTGAATTGGCAGAAGTTAGAATTCAAGGATCATTGGATCGAGTCCCAGTGGCTCAATGGTCTACGAGCTCGCCTTGTAACCAGAAGGTCCTAGGTTCGAGTCCCAGTGGGTGCGTACTGCTGGAGTCCCAAAATAGGACGAAACAGCTGTCCAGTACTCCTAGCTGGTTTTCCAGTGGTTCTCTAACTGATGTCAGCTCATGATGAAATCCTGTAACAAAACATCACCCACCAGATGATACTGTTTCCCTGTGAGATACATCGACAATAAACGAATTGGTACGGAATTATGTACTACCAATGCATCGTTAGTGGTTCAGAGGTAGAACGCACGGCAACCACACCGCACGTGGTGGTCCGGGGTCAGGTCCCCGGCCGACGCAGTCCTAGGCCTCGCTTAGTTGGTAACCAGTGGACAGGGAGGGCTGGGTGTGAGGCTAGCAACCCCATAACATAAAAATAAAACCACAGATACAGAGACTGAGAAGCTTCAGTTGGAACGTAAAGGAATTAAAAAAAACATAAGTACTACCGCAATGTCTACGTTTTCGCACATAGATTAAAAGTGAGCATACGCTTACCCGTTCAGATATTACACTGCCACGTTGCATAGACTTAGTTGAGACAATATCATCATCATCGTCATCGGAACATGTTAACCCTCCTAAAGACATCGCAGATTTACCATCCTGTCGAACGCCTTCATTCCCATTATCATCATCATCATCCTCGTTATCTGAATCCTTCATTATACCTTTCATAATTGTCGGTGGACGAGAACTATTCGCATCAAAGTTTAAATTACTCCGTGATCCATACAACAATGATAAGGAATTAATATTTTTATCGAATGGTTGTTGACCAGCAAAAGCATTCACAAGACCAATTAATAGACGACCAGCTAAATCTCGTATTATACGATTCAAATCGAGCATACATGTTAGGATCTAAAACGAGACAGATGATTTGAAAAGAAATCATTTAGCACAATTTTGTTCAATATATATATATATATACTCACATAAATATACAATGTATTGTATCGATGCATAAACTACATAATTTGTGTCGGAACACTATATCTGTCTATGGTCGATAATAAGCGTCTCACATTTCTGACTAGTGGATGAGCAATCCACAGCTCAGTATGTAAGTATTTAAGCGTGTTGACCACTTCGCTTATTTGGGAAGTTGTATCAGCCAACGCCAGCAGGTTGATCGCTGACGAAACCTCAGCAGGGATACAGAAGGCTCGTTTGGCATTCGCCAGCTTACACCACACATCTGGCGTTGACATGATATATCCGGCTTTCGACCAAAGAACGTGTGTGTAATGCTCACCAGTTCACTCCGTCCTCCTTTTTATGGATGTGAGAAATGATCAATGAAAGTGGGAGATAGGAAAAGGTTAGTTGCCTTTGATCACAGATGTCTGCATTCTATCCCCCATGTTAGGTGGCATAATGAGATGAGTGATACTGAGGTTAGGCGTAGAGTGTTAGATAAGGAGGGAAGGTCAGCCGATGAGGTTGTGAAGATACATCATATGAGTTGGCTAGAACGTATGCCTAGCCTTCAATCGCCTTCCTCGACGGGCAGTGTTAGCCGCTGACATAGGAAAGATCGCGCTGGAAAGGAGCCAGTTGAGGTCAAACTGAAACATGACTGCATCAGTCAATGAAATCTTTTGACAGTTGGTTTGAGAGTTACGTGGGGAGATGCAGACTTCATAACTGAGGTCCTCGGGATTCTAAGAACAAATAGCTGGAGAAAATTGGTGATATGGATCAAAATCGTCCTCAATGGCTGGTGCAGATGCATTCACTCTTTGTGATTTATAATATCCAATTCTATTGTTCTTCCATATTACTATTCTTTTTCCCTCGCTCACACTTCTGTTCATTATTTCTCCTTTGAACTTCTCTTGGTTTGTGTGCTACATCGAGGGAGTGTGGCTACTGGGACTGCTGCACATCAGTGAAAAGTTCTATGTTGAGACCAGTCAGTCAGTTTAAGGTCAGGGAATTCTGTTTCTCAGTATTTTCAACGCTTTGAAGCCAGATTTTGTTGTAAGTGTTCTGATTCCTTTTGTTTCAAACGCCCAAAAAACAACATTCAATTTTCTTGTTTCCATTCGTATAGAATGTCAAAATCTAGTTAGCTTCTTTCCTTTCACTATAAATGCACAGAGGACGATAGCGTAACCACCCTAGTCAAACTCTGATATGCCTGATATACCCTTCAGAAATGGGGGCACATTACAATCAAACTTTCAACACGATTCCTACTCACTTATCTTCACACGGTAGGGGTGTGCCTCACAAAAGTGAAAGACTGAATGCAAGGCTTACAACTGGACTGGTCGACATATGTAGGTCTACCTAAGGAAGCTGGAAAACCCTGATTCCAAACCTACGGTGTATATGGACTCTAGAACTAGGAAGAATCGAATGATGTATAGACCTGTTTTGGTCGCTGCAGAACATGACGCGACTGCATTGCCAAGTGGATCAGACTCCGAAGTCATAAGGTTCAGGCGTAGTCGCTCAAGCCAATCACCCGTTTCAGTCTGGACGTTGTTCACAGCTAGTATCTCAGTCCTCACATAAACTATACCATTTTGTGCTTTTCAACGGTAGCAATTGACCATGGTTTGACAAAACAGTGACACCGAAATAAATACACAGTGTTAGACTTGTGGCATGTGCTACTGACAAGAGTTATCAGTAGTATGGAAAAAGAGTCGTTCGTCGTCACAAAAAGCATCAAATAGCAGAGTAATTGACTTTGACCTCAAAGAGAGGAAAGCAACCAGCATTGCAGCAAAACAAGGGAGACACACAAAAAACACACACAATGCGAATGGCAGAAGTAGCACAAGACGGAAGATCTGTGCAAATGACAATTTCAACATATGGGGATATACATGATTTCCTTATGTGAGTGCATCGAATTGCAAACAAACATTCCGTTACCAAGCCTACTGTCTTCTTCTATTACACGCTGACTACATTCAAATTTTTGTTTTCGTTCCTGTTTCAATCAGTGTAGAAATATACGATGACAAACAGATTCTGAAGCTTTGATTTCCCCCCCCCCTCGCCTTTCGGCATTTATCCTTTTGTGCTGACGAAATCAGACTACAGTTAATTAAGCCCAACAGGATTCCTTTCATCACAAATTTTGCCAAAAGAATTCTATTGCCAGTGACAGAACCATTGAGGACAATCGTTGCATGATGTTAAATAACTTACCGTAAAGTTCTATGATATTTCAGAACTCCGTGTTACTACTCATAAGTAGAGCGTCGGTAGCACAGCCGTAGTATGCGTGTCAATCACGCATGTAGTTCGCGGTTCGATCCACGGCCGACACACTCCTTTACCTCACTAAGCCAGTAATAAGACTAGTAAAGGGGGGGGGAAGGTTGGTTGTGAGACAGACTAGAAACCTCATCCCGTAAAAATAAACAACCACTGCCAGAGAAACCTTTAAAGCTCTAGCTTGAAGCCCTATATTCCACTGGGAACGCGTAAAGGAATAATACTGAGTGAATAAACATGAATTAACAACCTACCTCAGGGAAGAACATATTAGCAAACTTTTTTAAACGTTCATTCTCCATCAAATCACCATTATCCATAGTCTCATTGGAATGCATACTGTTAGCTGCAGCATTCAGCTCACAAGTAACTAAACGTTTAAATAAATGATGAATACACTGTAGAAGAGGTTTCCATGGGATAAAGTATTTGGCGGTTTTATTCGATGATTGATCCAGTTTCATTCCGCAGACTGATAACTTGGTCATCTTTTTCTCTATCGATTCAGTATTATTATCATCATCATTATTTATTGTTGTCGGCAGTGTTCCTGTCACAGCAGTAGTAGCGGTTGTTGTCGCCTTTTCTGACGATTTATTTACTAGTCTCTTTGTTAAACCACAAACTAATAGGATAAGATTATCCAGGTTTGAATTTAAGAATTCATCAGTTTGACTAGTCCCTCCAGCACAAATACTTTCTAGCACACGACATGCACGTTTTTTCAACGGTTTTGACAATTGTTCCAACTAAGCAAATATATATATGAAAAAATTGTGAAGATAGATATCAATTATGTTATACAATAAAAGAGTGATAAATTCTTCAAGTATTGGTTTTGTAGAGATTTTGTTTGATTGCATGGAGGATTTCATCATGAGCTGACATCAGTTAGAGAACTACTGAAAAACCTGGGAGTACTGAACAGCTGTTTTGTCAGTCTTGTTTGGGACTCCAGCAGTACGCACCCATCGGGGTTCGAACCCAGAACCTTCTGGTTACAAGGCGAGCTCGTAGACCATTGAGCCACTGGGACTCGATCCAATGATCCTTGAATTCTTACTTCTGCCAATTCACGACATAGCGCGACCATTTCGCAATGTCTTCTTAGATGAGTTACTGCCTCATCTTCAACCTGCTGTATCCTACTGGTCACGGATTCCCACTAGAACCCCAGGTAACTGCCTGAATAGGGCCAGTCACTAGTGAGCATCACATTAAGCTGTGACCATTTGATCATCAAAATCTAAACAACTTGAGCTATTTAACTTAAACCTCTCCTAGAGGACATAAAATCTGATCAGTAAACACTGTTTCGTAATTCTGTGATAGAGAAATAAAACCAGCCTACTTAAATCTGAACTCAAATATACACTTACAGTCAGATAGTCATTAATTCTTGCAACGATCACTTCCAAATCACTGACAGAATTATACGGCGTTACAATATGGAATATTTCCAGATAGATAGGTCTAAAATGAGAACATCAGAATAAAAGATATGTGATTAAGAATGTAAAAAAAATAAACTCTATGACAAAAACCTAGAAGTCTGATAACCATCTACAGTACTATAAAGAAAGCAAAAGGTATCACTAAATAAAAACCCGTTTCGTCTCGCCTTGGGACTCATCATCAGTGTGCATCTATGATTTCTCAAGAGGTTGGTTGTATCAAAGATTGCTAGATTACACGGTAAATGGGTCATATGAGCACACTGTCGACGAGTTCCAACACTTGAGTGAAACAGATGTTTAGCAGCCATTGATTTTCAATGGTTCTTTTATAAGGTGAAACCGATTGAAACTTTACAAGTCTAATATTTATATAAATATCACTTACTGATTTGTATTGTCGAACTTGTTCATAGCAGTTTTTGTCACTGAGCAGATGATCTGAAGTTAAGAGAAATAAACTTTAATTAGTTAAAGTATTTATAAAACCTCCAATTATCATACACGCCAGTGATGCCTAGTAAACTTTTACCGTTATTTTTCCAGAAACATATCGCTCTATTCAAAAAGTCTAAAGTGATGTCACTTGGTTCACCTGGTGTGTTATTTTAATGCAAGACTAGGATGCCTAAATGAGGCAAAACATGTTCAATATATGCATAAAACACTCAAAAATTTTTTATCAATCTTATGTCCTACTTTATGGCTGTCAGGTATGGTCATTGAAAATGGAAGATGCGAAAAGGCTAGCTGTCTTTGGTCACAGGTTCCTGCGTTCTATCTCCCGTGTGAAGTGGTATAATAAGGTGAGCAATACTGAGATTAAGTAAGCGTCGGTCGAGTGTTAAGTAAGGAGGAGGAAATAAGTCGACGAGGTTGGGAAGTTACATTGTTTGAGGTGGTTAGGACATGTGTTACGCATGCCTGTCTAGCCATCGCCTTCCTAGACGGGCAATGTTAGCTGACTGACATAAGATCAGGTTGGAAAAGAGCCAGTGGTGGTCAAACCAAAACATAGCTGCATCAGTCAGTGAAATCTTTTGACAGGTGGCTTGAGTCACATAGCGAGGTGTAGACTTCCTGACTGCTTGGAGTCCTCTGGATTCTAAGAACAAATGGATGGAGACAATTGGTGATATGGATCAAAATCGTTCTCAGTGGCTGGCGCAGATGCACTCATTCTTTATGATTCATAATATCCAATAAAACTCTATTGTTTTCCCATATTACTATTCTTTTTCCCTCACACTTCTTTTGATCATCTCTCCTTTGAACTTCTTTTTACTCTCTTCACTTGCTTTTTGTGGTGCATGGATTGTGGTAACTGGAACTGCTGCACATCTGTGCAAAGTTCTCTGTTGAAACCAGTCAGTCAGTCACTTTCCCTTTCGGCTTCCTAACATCTAGAGGGGTATGATTTATAGATAACTAGCTCTCATCAAAAGGAATAGATAGCATTTTCTTCTTTACACTTATTGTTTTCACTGTAACACATAATCATTTATTAGTCGTTATTATAATGATTATTACTCAGTTGTGAGATTTTGGGTAAGCTATAGATTTGAAGAGAAGTTTTGTCACTGGTTAATATCACCTCGTGAATCATTGTAGGTCTGTTTGTTGTAGTTTTACGGGTCTTCATCAGTGGGAATTCATAACTCAACACAAAACGAAACACAGTCATCAGACTTCCTAACATGTTAGTTATTACTGGATATAGAGTTCCACGGTTTTTTATTTTCTGTCAGTCTGTCACCTAAACTAATCAGCACGCGACATTATCAGTGAGTCGCTGTATTCACTCCCGACTTGTATTCATGGGTACACACTTCTAAAAGTATTAAGTTGGAAAGTGGCTTAAGTTATCCTTGACTTTAAATGCTTCTCATGCAGATATTAGGTTCGAGGCAATATCTACATTGATAATCATTGTACGGTGATAATTGTGTCTAAAGCATAGATGAAACATTCCGGAAACTACTGCACATAACATGGCTCATTTCTATGTCTTGAGACTGAGTGATTGGTTTCAACGTAGAACTTTGCACAGATATGCAGCAGTTTTAATTGCCACAATCCATGCACCACACAAAGAAAACAGGATAAAGAGAGATCTCAAAGATAGATAATAAACAGAAATATGAGGCGAAAAGAATAGTAATATAGGAGAACAATAGAATTTAGTTGGATATTATAAATCACAAAGAGTGGTTGCATCCGCACCAGCCATTGAGAACGATTTTGATCCATATCACCAATTGCCTGCAGTCGCCATTGTTTTTTACCATCCTGAGGACCCCAGCTCGACAGCAGTCTACACCTATCTATGTTGTAGATTTCATTGCCTGATGCCGTGTTTTCGTTTGACCACCCCTGGCTCTTTTCCAGCCTGACCCATCCTACGTCAGCTAACATTGCCCGCCGAGGAAGGTGATTGATGGCTAGACATGAGTAATACATGTCCAAACCATCTCAATCGATGTAACTTCCCAACCTCGTAGATTGATTTCCCCCGAAATGAGAAGTAATCTTAATCTAGCGAAATTTAATGAGAATTTCATTCATTAAACTATACTAAGTTTATAATTCTTGAATCCATAACCAAACACAATTGATCCTCATACAGTATTATCCAGGTTTTATCCTTCGAAATATGAACTGGTAGGATAATTGGTGGAAGTGTTAGAACCAATTTGTAATGAGCCATCAAGTGTATATCTGAACCAGGTGATTGGTTAATTGAAAGAGGAGAAAGGATGGTAGATTTAGGAGTGTAAAAACACCAGCCACAACGACAGGTTAGGATACTCGTGTTTTGAGTTTTACACTTTTGAAATATAAATGCAACTTAGTCAAGTGTTTGGTTCATTGCGCTAGAATAATTTGCTCAAAAGGCTGTTTTAATGGGGGAAGGTGGGTCTAAAATGATCAAAGAATTACTCAGTAAAAATGGTTATCCAGATTAGTTCATTGGTAAAAATATAAATTTAGCAACAAGACAAGTCAGTATGGCGACAGCACTAAAGAAACCCTTGTTCATAAAACTGCAGTTTCCGATTGATACCACTGATATAGTAACACAGTGTCTGAAGAATGAGGTAAAAAGAGTATTCAATGCAGCAAAAGTACACTGTTCCTTTACAACTACTTCAATTTCACGTTCGAGAAATTAGGATAAACTGCCTAATTTCTCTTCCTCTATGTACATCTACCAGTTCGACTACTCACTCCTCTGAAGCTGCTAAATTGAGCGTACAGTTCGGCAGGTTTGTAATCGGATTTCCAAACAGCAGTCTACATGGTTAAACAAGGGACAAAGATCTATTCGTAGCTTTGTTTTAGCACACCTTGTACATAATGAGCATAAAGTTGGTGCTGATAAAGTATTTACAGTTACTTATCACATTCCCTACCTGGGAGGCATCGTTTCAACTACAGGCGGAACTGACGAGGGTATCAAAGCAAGGATCGGGAAAGTAAAGCAAGCTTTCATTACTGTCAAGTCTGTGTGGAGGTCAACAGCACACTCAGCATGAATAATAAGATCCGGATTTTTAACTCCAATGTGAAGTCAGTGCTACTTCAAGGATCAGAGACTTGGAGTAGACCACCTCAAACAAACTACAAACCTTCATCAACAGCTGTCTTCGCTCAATACTCAAGATCAGATGGCCAGAAAAGATCAGCAACAAGGATCTCTAGGAACGAACGAACCAACACAGCAGGAACCAATTGTGCAACCAATAAACAGCAAGAAATGGAGATGGATTGGCCATACTCTAAGAAAATAAACCATCAAGTGACATCACACGTCAGGCTCTCTCTCGAGTGGAACCCGAATGGGAAGCGGTGAGTTGGTCTTCAGTGCGAGGATGATATGGAGGTGGAGGTCATGTGAAAAGGAGATGAAACCATGTGGTCAGACGTGGAGCCAGGTGAAAACGTTGGGGGAGAACCAAACAGAATGGAGATGTGCAGCTGAAGCCCTATGTTCCTCTAGGAACTAAAAGAAACAATAATAATAAATTTACGAGTTCCTTGACTACACAGAGCTGAAACCGTCGGAATTCACCTGAAGAAACCAGACCTGTGTGTTCAAAAGAAATTCGTGCAGCCATTTTCTTTACCTTGGCCATCACTACATGAATGTACGCAGCTGACAACATAAGGTATTCTTTCAGAATAAACTTTATAGACATTATATTATTCACTACAACGAATTAAACTTTTTCTCAGAAGTCGTAACCAGAGGGATCCACCGAGTCAGACAAGAGGACAGCTGCCCGCCCATGACACTGACTGGTGGTTGAGCTAAATATATAAATCGGGAACTGGCAGCAGTTAGAGTTCACAGACCATTGGGTCGAGTTACAGTGGCTTAATGGCCTACAAACTTACTTCGTAACCAGAAGGCCTTAGGTTCGAACCCAGACAGATGAAGAGTTTCAAACTAGGGAGAAACTGCTGCCCAGTACACTCCCAAGTTTTCCAATAGTCCTCTAACTGATGTCAGTCAGTGATCGATCGATCCTGTAACCAACCAAATCTCTGTAAACCAACACTTAATGACTTCTCTAATTGTAAATCCAATGATAATTCCCCATTCTTTATCGCGCAGAAATATCTGAAAGAGTTTTCTAGAATATGTTGGGAATACTTTTGAGGTGGTAATGATTACGTGTTGAATGCTGAAATTTTAGCTAAGTGCTTCTTTGAGAAAGTTGTCTCTCAAAAAAAGACAACATTGCATTGAAGCCACAGGAATAAGCATGATATCTATCTGCAATTAACAGTGTTCTTTGAGCTGGTTGGTTTAGTTGCGAAGCTTTCGTCGTCCCCCTGCTGGACAACATCTTCAGCGCAATATTTAGCATAAAGTGAAATGATTTAAATTTCTTCATGAGTGATATAATTGCGTCTATTGGTAACCATCTTTACATATGATACCTATCTTCATCAATTATTTTTAAAGCAATCCCAGGGTGTTTGAGAAAAAAAATTCAAAACAAGATTTATAAAACACAAAATAATTGAGCAAAGAATATCCTTTCGATAATCTCCTCTTCTGGCTTTACGATTATATATATGTTAATATACACAGAACATTCTAGAATAGTAGTGAATAACAATATTAGTGTTTTTTAAATAATATCGACTTGTTAAGTAAGATCAATGGAATTACAATTCATGAAAGATGCTTAAATAATAATAATAATAGTAGTAATAATAATAAAGATATAGTAGCAAATAGAATATTAATTAAAATTAGGAAAAGTCCACAAAAATTGAGGATCATTCAAACCTAGATGGCCAAGGTAATGATAATGTCTGAACTAACTTCTTTTGGACGCACAAATTAGGCTTCTCAATGTGGATCCCAAAAGCCTCAGCAATATTTAGTAGTCGAAATCTTAAGGCAAAATTGGGATTCGTAGGTATGCGGTAGATGACTCTGAAAGCCTGGTTAACATCAACCTTGTGTTCTATATCCTTAAGATGAGATAGAATAGCGCTATGAATAGATTTAGTTTGTCCTTTACTTAACCACGCAGGGTGATGTTAGGAAATTTGAAGAGAAACACGCCTAATTTTGCGGCCTATGTAACTGGATCCACAGGAGCAGTTAAATCGGCAGATACACATGGAAGAGGCGAAATTAGGCAGTTTATCTTTTACTCCCGAACACAAAATAGGGGTGGTTTTGAAGACACAGAGTAATTCAGCAACAGGGAATACTCTTTTTATCGCATTTCTAAGGCGCTGTGTTAATAACGTTTCGTAACATCTACCGGTTTGCAGACTTATAATGACGCCTATCTGTTACTAGAAATGTTTGAATAATGTACACAGTAAAAAAGAAAAAACAAGTGAGACGTACTCTCATCAACTTTATTCTCTTTAAAATATTCCTATCAGAACAATAAATATCTAATACTTACCTTAGATGACATAATCGGTAGGTAATATGATAATGTTGCTTGAATTTTCTGTTTCATTGAATATTGTGTAGTTGTATCTAAAGTTTCATAAAGTGATAGCATAGCTGGAAGTGCCATTTTTGCTCCACCGCGCATAACAGTAGTTGCGGAGTCTACCAAAAAACACAAAAAACAAAAACATTATGAGAAAGAATCATTGAATATCCTGGATTGAAGAGGTCAATTCCATCGCATGAATCACTTCAAGAAGGAGAATTATTCATTGACTAAATGACTGAATTCAACATAGGACTTTGCACAGAAGTATACAACAGTTCGAGATGTCATACTCCATGTAGAACACTCAGAGAGAGACAGAGAGAGAAAATTTCAGAATAACTACAGTAAACAGAAATATTAGGGAGAAAGAATAGTTAATAAGAATATGGCAGATTGCAGGGAGTGAACGCATCTATGCCAGCCATATCATAAATTGTCAACAACCATCGGTTCTTAGAACCATGAGGACCCCAACCAGTCAGGAAGTCTACAACCCCACCCACCCCCTGCGTGGCTTAAACCTACTGTCGAAAGATTTCATGGTTTTGGTTTGTCCATCAATAGCTCTTTCCCAACCTGATCCTATATGAGCTAATATTTCCCGTCAAGGAAGGCGATCAATGGCTATGCATGCATAACACACGTTCTGACCATCTCAATGGATCTACCTTCACAACCTTATCTATTAACTTCCCCTTCTTACCTAACACTACGTCCAACTTTAATACTACTATTATTATTACTGTCCCCTTGGGTTCCTAGTGGAACATAGGGCTTCAACTGCACGCCTCCACTTGCTTCTGTCTTCTGCTGTACTTTTCACTTGCATCCATGTTAGTTCATACTGTTTCAACTCCTCTTCACACGATCTCCTCCATGTCACCCTTGCACCGACGAACCACTCGCCGCTTTCCTTTCGGGTTCCAATCGAGCTATGGCCTGACGCGCGATGTCACCCAGCGGCCTCCTCAGCGAATGTCCAATCCATCTCCAATTTCTCCTGCATATTTGTTGAGCGATTGGTTCTTGTTTTGTTTGTTCCCATAGTTTCTTGTTGGTGATGCTTTCCGGCCATCTGATCTTCAGTATAGAACGAAGACAGCTGTTGATAAAGGTCTGCAACAGGCTGTTGGAAATATTCTTTGTGACCCGACAAGTTTCCGAACAGTATAGAAGAACTGATTTGACGTTTGTATTGAAAATCCGAATTTCGTTGTTGATGTTGAGTGACGAAGATTTCCAGATTGGTTTCAGGTTGACGAATGTGTTTCTCGCCTTCCCGATGCTCGTCTCGATTTGACATCCTCGTCCGTTCCTCCTGTAGTTGAGACAATGCTCCCTAGATAAGTGAATGAAGTAACCTCTTTCAAATCCCTCCCGTTGATGGTGATTGGCGCTGGATGTTGCTGATGTTCTTGTTGTTGCTGGTTGGTTATTTTCATAACCTCTGTCTTGTCTATGTTCACCTGGAGTCCTGTCTTCGCTGCTTCTTCGACCAGTTTTTCGGTTTTCGCTTGTAAGTCTTTGATTTTGTGTGACATCGAACATAAATCATCCGCGAAATCCAGGTCTTCTACATTCTTCACGTCGGTCCAGGATATCCCTGTCTTCTCGTTTCCCACTGTCGTAGTAGTCGTCTCTACTACTACTCACCTTATTATACCACCAAATATTGGAGATAAACCGGAGACATCCATGATCGAGGACAATTCGCCTTTTCATATCTTTAACTTTCAGTGGCCATATTTCACAACCATAAAATAGGATGGAGCAAACTGTTGAGCAGTACACACACGTTCTTTGATCGATAGCCGGATATCATATCTACGATACTAGTGATGGCATAGGTTGGCAAACGCCATAAATATTATCACGACGAGGCGCATACACATAGAATACACAGCCTCCTTCAAACCTTGCATACAACTACTAGATTGTGCACTATGCGCTATCGCTATTGGCAGATCTGACAACAAAAGTCACGAGAACACCATCACATCATGTGACAGGCCAGGTACCTCCTCACTTCACACCTTACTCAGCCATCCTATAGACATTCATAACTAGTAATTAATATGAAAGCAGATCCCTGGTGACCAGTGACTTTGTTCGTATAAAAACATATAGGAGTGAACAATATCAATTCCGTCACCACAAATACAAGACATATATGGTAAAAAAAGACGTGGATTAAATCCCTTGCTAATAAATCAAAAAACTTACCATCACCAGCTGCCAGCTTAGCTAATCGCCGAAATGCATGCAGAATGATTGGTCTTAAAGCAGGAGCTGAATTGAATTCCTTGACAAGACGAGATCCTAATCCACCAGTTGACAGTTCAGACCAGTCGGTTGGACTACGATGTACAAACATATTCAAGGAAGACCAGAGTTGGCAAGCCACTTTAATCCCTAAAGTGATCAATGCATTATTTGCAGGTTTAGTTTTATCAGTCATAGCAGCTGTTGAACTAGCTACAGAAAGCGCTCTATCAGCTAGTGGAAGAATCTGTTTACTGAAGATAGATAAAGCGCATGGTTTTTGTGGAACTGCACGTGAAATTAGCGGTAGGAACCAAGATCTTCGAAGATCAATACTACCGGCTTCTCTACAAATCAAATAATGTAAAATAGAAACAGAAACATTAAAATTCTTAAAGTTGCAAACTTTAGACACCTTTTATCAAAAGATGGATAATAATTATATATAAACACTGAAAGACAGAAAGCATCAAGCAGTCCTCATCCTAGAACATATCAGCTGGGTTACAGTCCTGGAGAAGAAATTTTTAAAAGGTCACTTCCAAATGAATTAATGTCTGTCTGTCTGGATTCAACATGGAACTTGACACCGAAGTGCAGCAGTTCAACTTCCCACGTTCCAAAGAGCACACAAAGGTAGACAAGAAGATGAGTGAAGAGAATCAATAGAGTTTTGACAAGTATAAGAGTGAAACAGAATTAGTATTGGTAAAAAGGAATATGAAAGATTACAGAGACTGAATACATCTGCGTAAGCCATTGACAACGATTTTGAGCCATGTCAGCTATTTTTTCCAGCCATTGATTCTTAGAGTCCCGAGGGCGGGCCCCAACCCGGAAGTCTGCATCTCCTTACCTGACTCAGTTTAACTGTCAAGGATTTCATGGGTTGATGAGGGCATGTTTTTGTTTGGCCACCACTTACACTTTTCCAACCTGCACCTATATCGGCTAGTAATGCCCGTCGGGGGAGGCGATGGTTAGGCATGCTCAGCACGTGACCTAGCCATCTTAATCTATGCAAATTTATAGCTTCTTCGATTGATTTTCCCTCTTTGTCCAACACTCTGTGCCTAACGTCAACATTACTTATCTTATTATGCCACCTAACGTGAGAAAGAGATCGTAGACACCTATGATCAAAAACAGTCAACCTTTTCATGTCTTCAACTCGTATTGGCCAAGTTTCAGAGCCATATAGAAGGACAGAGAGAACTGCTGAGCAGTATACACGTCCCTTGGTTGATAGCCGGATGTCACGCCTACGCCAGAGATGGTGTAAGTTAGCGAAAGCAGCTCGAGCTTTTTGGAGCCGTGCTGAGATTTCGTCTCCAATCAGTCCGTTGGTGCTGATACAACTTCCCAAAAAGGTGAAGTAGTCAAATGAATTAATGATAAATATGGAGTTTTCGAGAGTTTGTAAGGACTTGATTCGTTTCAAGTTTGATCACGAGCTGATATCAGTTAGAGAACCATTGAAAAAATCAAGGAGTACTGGACAGCTATTTTGTCCCATTCGGGGAATTTTCAGGAGTTCGCACCCAGCATCTTTCGGTGACAAGGTTAGCTCATAGACCACTGAGCTACTTGGATCCCATCAAATGGCCGGCGAATTCCAACTCCTACTAACTTGTGATCTTAGTACTACCACCAGCCATTGTTATCGGCAAGTGTTTGTCCTCACGCCCGACATGGTGATCACCACAAACTAACTCTTGAAAACTAGTTCGATGCTTGCAAGTGACTGCCTACTGGATGGAGTTGCCTGGGGTTTTAGTGAGAAGTCGTGGCCAGTGGGGTTCCACCCTGTCAGGAGTGAGGAAAAATACTCATTGATAACATTTGCTGGTGGTCGGTCACGATAAAGTCACGAACCGACAGAAGTTGGAATTCATGAGCTGACTACTGGATCGGACGGATCCCAGTGGCTGAATGGTCTACAAGCCATCCTTGTAACCCGGAAGATCCTAAGTACTAACTCCCATGGGTTCGTACTATTGAAGAGTCCCGAACTGGAACGAAACAGCTATGCAGTACTCTTTGGTTTTCCAATCGTTCTCCAACTGATGTAGTTTCATGATCAGACATAAAATGTGGAATTGCTATACATTATATTTAGGTACAGCCACTCTGGCTCAGCATGTCAGTGCAAATCACCGATTAGTTTTACATTAAAAACTAAACAACTACATCAACTGTCAACAAACTGATCAAATGATCTGTGTTCATACATTGGTTTTCAAGAGATTTTCAATATGTATAGTTTACTTTGGCATTTCTAACTCCTGATAATGTATAAAACTAGTGTTCCAATCGGTAGATTGGTAGCTAAGAATTCTATTTATACGTTTTGAGGTATAAGTATTAAATACTGAATGAGTCACAAGAGTGGATGATATGAGTAACAGAGATAAATCGGCCACTTTAGCTACGTTATAAGGAATTGAATGTGCCACCGAATGTGCCTATTAAACCTAATGATTTAAATTTATTAAGCGATATGTTTTGTTGAAATGTAGACCAGTTGTTGTTTTTTTCATAAAGGTACATTTAATACTTATTCACACTTGTAGTTTCAGTCAAAAATTTAGTTATGAAAAGACAAGAGCATAAAATATCAACTTCCTGACCGAAGCTTACATCCCCTCTGGTGATAGTCAAACCTACAAATAAATAATGATGATATTTCTATGCTCTAACAGGTCGAAAACCATTTTTTTCAGATTCATTATACAATTTAACATCGGCCTCAAGAATTAGCTTGTATTGTTGACTTTATTGTGTTTAGCTTACGCAAATAAACCTGAGCCGCATCGAATTTGAAGTTAGTGTGGCGTTTTCCTTATTAATTATTACTCATCTAACTTTATGCTTGAAAATATCTCTTCAGAAGACATCAGATCCAACTATTGCTTCAGCAACACACAGGAGAATTGAAAAAGTTTGTCAGCTTATTCAAATTCCACAATGAGTACTTATTTTAGCCAAGACTTAAATGTGTAATCTGTGAGAGGAAAAGGTAACTCTCAGTTTATCTCAACCATATGGTAGGAAAGAATGTAGAGCTGTAGTGTGCAGTTGAACACTGACGAGTAATCGTTTGATTCGTTTGTGATTTTTTTCCTTCACCTTCCCAGTGGAACAGAGGTCTTCAAGCTGGAGGCTTGAAGTTTCTGTAGCAGTGTTTATTTTTACAGGGTGGGGTTGCTAGCCTCATACCCAACCTTTCCTCTTTACCAGTCTTATTACTGGCTTAGTGAGGTAGAGGAGTGCATCGGCCGGGGATCGAACCCCAGACCATGTGCATGGTCGGCGAGCGTCCTAACCGCTGTGCCACCGACGCACACTTCTACAGAGACGATTTGTCTGTGATACCGACACCATATCATACGATGAGATAAACTACCATGTTTCCTGTAAACTGGTCGTCTATTTCTCAATATTGCACTCTCAAAGATTATATGAATTTCTGAATACTAAATAAAAAAAATCATTAACTTACAATTCCTTGACAAGTGTTTCCAAAGAAAATACACTTTCAGATGTAAGTAATTCTGGGCCTATGTACTCAATAGTTATTAAACAGACACTATCCAATCCATCGATAATTTTCTCACCAAGATCATCTAAACCCATTAGAGAAAAGCTGTTTGGATCAACATGGATAAGACTGATCAGGCTTTTAGGTCCATCGGCTAAACAATCACGTAAATGTAGTATAACTTTCAATAATTCCATGAATGCAGTTGAATCTGTCGTCGAGGCCGAAGCATAAATTTTGGAGAAAATCATTATAAATCGTCCAATAAGCGATAACAAATGATGCCATATCTCATAATGTGTATACTGAAGACTGTTTATGAAGCCGGACAACACATGAGAAATGAAGTCTGGTAGTATTTCAGTGAGTCGACACGATGTTATTTGAGGTTCCTGATATTCAAAGTAAACAGGAAGATAAAAGATCACAGTGGAAATGGGAAAATAAGCGCGAAAACTGGCTTTAAAAGTACTTTTTGGAGTCAATATATCTAGCGGTTGACAAAAATGAGACCATACATTACTACTTATCATAAATTCATTAAACGGTGAATATTTAAGTTTGGGTGGTAGCAGGATGTGTTCTTAGATTCGGCATTTCTTCGCCAAACTCGTCTTCTAAGCAAATGGTGCTCTTCCTCGATTAATTAAGTGATAAAACACTAAGTACAACCTAATGACTGCATGTTTATTGTATGAAGACTAGATGTATATGCAAGTCTGTAGGACTCCAACAACGAGAATTTTGAACACTATGCTAGATTGACAATGAAGCCTTGAGCTATATGCGCTTTTAAAGACTTGTGAACTGGAGAATACAGTACAAACAGAGTGAATGGATTCCAGTTGACACTGATGACTATTACACGAACTACTGCATTATATGTAAGGTGCAAACCGAAATTCCTACATAAGACAGATTATAAATATATTTATATTTCCATTCCGAATGGAGCATAAGGATTCACTTTTCGAGATTTGAAGTTTCCAGTAGCAGTGATGTTGTTTCTAAGGGGGTAGGGTTGCTGACCCTCACGCTCAACCTTTTCTCTTTACCTGGCTTACTACTGGCCAAGCGGGGTAAAGGAGTGAGTCAATCGGATGTTGAATCCTGGACCACAAGTGTAGTTGGTCAGTGTTCTACGACTGAACCACCGACGCATAGATTATCATATTACAGCATACTAATCCAAGTTGCCCTTTTTATATTTATTTAACAATATGGAAATGAACAAACTTGGACATCTCTACACACAAAATACTAAACACCAAGCATATGAAGATTGGAAATACACAAAATAAAAATATATGACGTTTTGAAATCAACAAATCAGCTAGCTTACAACAACATCCATGAAAAGTTGATTTAATTTCTGAGTAGTTGCTTCCCGCAACTGAGGAATAGGTGTAGAAGTTAACAGCGAAATCAATGTTTTAATTAAACGATCCAAGTGTTCACTAGCCAACTGTTGTATAGTAAATCGTCCAACATTACCAATCTTCTGTTTTAACTCAGTATCATCACTCTCAGTAGCCATTATAGACAAACCAGATAAATATGTACAACCTGAAATAAGAGCTTGAATCCATGAGATTATTGCATCAACTCCAGTGCATGAAGTATTATTTGTATTTGATAGTGTAAATACATTTGGATCGTTTGGTCGACAGGAATAAAGTGCAGTTATCAGACGTGCAGCTATATCAATTGGTAAGGTTTTCAATGATGGTTTTGAGTCAAACATTGTTTTAAAACTGTGGAACATTTTGGTCACAACCTGATAAATGTGGAAAATACAGAATAACAATTAGAAATGCTCATTAAAGTGACACAATTTATTGACATGATTTGAAATAAAGTCAGATAAGGTTCGACTTTGAATAACAGGTACCTCATTATATATATATATATATTCTGAATGAGTGCAGATGCACCGGATATTAGCCAACATACCAGATGTTGGGAAATACAGGGACAAATATGATGTTTGACGTTTTTTTAGCCAAGATATGTCTTTGGTACTTAATACTAAGAAGCACATAGAGTGAGCAGGCTGCTTTAAAATTCCTTCCAAATGAAATGTAATGATCACAAGTGAAAAAGTTTTGAGCTCATCTCTGTGATTATTGATAACCATGGTTACCACAAATTGTTGAAAGGTATTAAAAACCAGTATGAAATGTATTCCCTCTGAGTTTAAACATCGACGACTAAGTATGTACTGATTACTTGAACAAGGATTACACTGTGATAAATCTAAACCATCCAGCGCTGTTGACTTATTAAACACATACTTGGACAAAATATTAAGTCCACAGTATTTGGTGAACGGGACAATAACTCTACAGATAGCAGTTGTTAGTGCAGTACAGGTTATAAATCATAATATTTAAGGTTTTATAATACTATCGGGTTGCTTCGACGAAAGTCGATGGAAGGAGATTTGAAACAATGATTAACTACTTTGAAATCAGGTGTCTATATTAATGAGTTGCATCACTATAACAATGATAACATAAACAAGAGATAACTTTACTCGTTTCAATTTTAAATGGAATTTATTTTCGTTTAACTATAATAATTATTCAGTTTATTTTGATGTAACCCATTATACACCTGAATGACTCAGTACATCCCTTGACACTTGTAGAGATAAAAGAAAAGTGTTAAACACTTAAGAATAAAAAGATGGTGCACTTACCAGTGGATTTGGAAAGTTGGCTAACTCGAGAATACATTCACAGGCCAACTTGACATCTTTAGACGGTAGAAGAGGAATTACAGTTGTTAATAAATCCAGACAATGCAAAAGACGAGTGCACTGAACGTCTTTTGTATGCAGTGAGGTTATGAGTTGCCTGGAAGAAACAGAACAGCGCATTTTTAATTCATTACACAATGTACAGTTATATATTAAGTGCTAAGACATATTTAACGACGTACCTATTCAGGATATCATCGGTAACAAAAAAAGAAGTATTTCTTAAAATTCTAGCTGTTTCCAAAATTGCTGTTAACTTAACACCGATTTACAAGAACATGATAATTAAACATAAAAATTAAGATGCTGTACTTTGTAACAGGAAAGGAAGTCTAGTTTATCAATTCGAAGATAAAGACAACAAATGGAGCTGGGAAATATGCCACTTTATTTCGTCAATTCGTGTCAACCGCATATACCCTAACACATGTAAAAACAATATATACAAACATTTAAATACCTTCATTAGCTAATTTGAAAAGAGGGGCGATTAATATCACATAATTTATTGCACAAACAGCTGAATAGATAAAAGCATTGGTGTTTGTAAGCTTTTTGATATACACGACCAGAAGAAGGTTCTAAAGTTAAGAAAGGGAATTGTGTATTAAAAATACGAAATTAACAGCACCTTACGTATGTTGTGTGTGCGCTAACCATGCACGTGGTTAGCGGTTCGATCCCCGGCTGAAGCAGTCTTAAACCTAGCTTAGCCGGCAATAAGCCCGGTAAAGACGGGAGGTTGGGTATGAGGTTAGCAACCTCAACCCGTAAAAATAAACACAACTGCTACTGAAACTTCAAAGGTGAAGCTTGAAGATCCATGTCCCACTCAAACCACAAAGAAGGACTTCTAAAAAGATGCGTAATTTGTACAACTTAAGCGAATGCATGTGATTATAATATGATGAGTAAAGATCAAAGTACTTCAAGAGCATGAGTGCAAATGATGAATAAAGGGTATGCAATGGCATAATAAAACTATATACAAGGTGACAACAGTGAATTAGAAAGATAAGACGCTTTTACTGTGGAAGGAAGAACTAAACAGCAACTTCTTTCTGACCAATTAATGGCCATCACTTGACCGAGAGGCAGAAAACTGGAACATGATAATTCACATCTTTGAAATCTGTGCTTGCCAACACGGTAGCAAGCGAGTTTGAGCTATGAAAAGACTGATTTACAATGAAACTAAGAGGAACTGCTGCCAGACAAAGTAAACACCATACTCAGCAGGATGTGAATTATGGCTGGTAAAGCAGAAGTTCATACTGACCAAATGCAGAAAAAGGTGGCCAAAAGATTCCATATACATGGAGAAATGGTTACGTGAACAAATGTCTCTCTCCCTCTATTGGAGATTTGGGATTCGAACAAGTATACAATAAATATGCAGTGATTCCGTTAGTCAGGTGTAAGACTTCTTTTAGTAGAGCAGCAGAGTGGCATATTTTGTCCCACATAATGAAAAATGTTAACTGCCGAAGCGACGGCACTTTTATTCCATATTTTACGCTCATGTGATGCGAGATGGTCTAAATCACGAAACAAGTACTTAAACTAAGAAACGTTCTACTTTTATTTCTTAAGTGGTAGGAGATGATCAAAGTTACGCAAAATTATTTTACTTTCATCTTAACAAAAGTAATAGAAATGCATTCGTAAGCTAAATATGAAATTACTAACAAACAGCTGGAAAATTATATGACAAAAAAATGCGCTGATTATTGGGAAAACGTACCTTGTTTCTTCACGTATAACTGCACTAAGGTGTTCCTGCGTTTGATGGCATGCAGGATGAAAGTTGACTTCTTCTGTTAAGCTGACCACATTGAAAGAACTCAAGATGTCCACAATCGCTAAATGACTCGCCTTACGAATACTGGGCTTTTCATTGTCAACGAAACGCAGCACATGACGGTATATGTGACGAACAGAATCAGCTGACCATGAGTCATACGACTGAGCACGTAAGAGTCTACCTAGACAAGTTAAAACCTTAGGAAAACTAGTTTTCAAGTAGATTAAGTTACCGATTTTATAAGTGTAGGGTTACTCGATTCACTTCGAGGATTTAAAAGACTCATTAACGTTTTGGCAGCTTCCCCACATGTTTTGCGTAACAATGAATCCTGAACACTACGGTGTTATAACAGTCGTTTAGAATTTGGCAAACTCACGCTTTGCACATTAGTAACTTCAGTAAATACGCTGGGGCCACCTTTTCTGGTGATTCGCTAATCAAAGTCAGCTATTTATTTTATAATTGGTTATTTTAAATTCACAAGTACCAAGACAGCATAATATTCCGCCGGAGACTCCTTTCCACCATTATCTTTGATCGTTTTAGTTACAGCTGCAAGGACAGATAATACATCTTTTTGCATCGAAACGTTAGACCACGCACGATTAAGGGCATTACTGAATGCCGGATTTGTACATTTCGTGGCATTTGATGCCCAAGAGGAAAACGAAGCAACAGAAACTGTTGAAGGCATGTGAAAATCCAAACAACCCACAGTGTAAACAACCTTGAATATTTATTGATTCAAAGACCCACATTTTTGTTTGAATTAGGAGGCTCCTACTCTATTTTAATGGTCATGGACTAAGTATCCGTGATTATCATTTCTCTCATAAAAGTGTTTATTAGGAGTACGGACACAACATCTGTAGGCCAGCACAAACAACCAAATAATCTGCGATAGAACCAGTACTCCACAGAGAAATGGTTACCCCTGGCTTTTGAAATGTCTCGCTATTTCCTCTGAGATTTTCCAGCCTGCTGAAAATGAAAATAAAAGGTTGGTGATTACTTCTAAAAATTTTGAAAGTCGTCAATAGATCTCCTCTACTCCAAGTGTGAGTAGAAGCATTGTGTTCTGAGTCTTCCCATGTATGATAAATTGTTCATTGTAGAAATCATACATGTGGTTATTCTTCTAATTCGTTACAGTATGTTAAGGGCCCCCCTAATACATCGAGTGGATTCCTGGATGTAGTTTAGACATTACCATAGATCTCTATAAAGCGGTGTGCACAACACTGAAAATTCTAATAAACACCTTAGTTCCCATGATGATCTAACATCTCGAAGTACAGCTGAGCGACAGTGTGCGTACTTGTTAAAGCGTGACTTACAATGACACCCAGACTAGTGCAATTATGAACTATAAGAGGTGGAGTTCCCTCTATGTCGCATGCTATGACACTTATATATCTTATGTGCACGATTGTCTAATTTGAGTGTACGTTTTGTGTAAATTTGAGTGAAGCATGTATTATGTAGACCGAATAAGCGGTTAAGTGAGAGCTACTCACAATGTAGTTACCTGGCTGGCGTCCGCCAGCCCTCTGTGGACAAATAGGTTATTCACCTAGGGAATCATGCATTTAGATATTCGTTCACGTACTGCGTAAAAAGTGAGTTGGTGGCACAGTGATAGGATGCCCACCGACCACCCAGGTGGTCCGGGTTTCGTACCCCTGCCAACGCACTCCTTTACCTCGCTAAGCCAGCAATGGGACTGGTAAGGAGGGAAGGTTGGGCATGAAGCTAGCAACCTAATCTCGTAAAAATAACTACAACTACTACTGGAACTTCAAGCCTCTAACTTAAAGCCCGGTATTCCACTGGGAACGTACATTAATAAAACAATTGAGTATGAAGGGAGGGCTGAGTACAGTAACTTGTGAAACACCGCTGTATACGACTGAGTTGATCCTGACCCTCTGCCTTCAACTGACAAGGAAGTTGGAAGGCAGCCTCAAATTGCAAGACTTTCCAGTTTCTTAGGCGATAGTGTACAAAAAACTTTCTCGAAAGCCTTGTTAAAATCTGTTACTGCTTCATGTTATTCCTCGATTTCGTTTGGCCTTTCTGACACAAGGAATTTCCACTAAAATTTTGATGCGTGCTGGATGACAAGTTCTGGTTTTCCATATAAGCCATGGTAGCTCTGTTGATTATTTTCTCATTCATTCTAAATCACCTGCTGATGATAGGTTACTAGCTAGAAGGATTTTAGCAAGGCTCGCCCATTCGGATAAGGAGTGCTGTTATGCCAGTCAGTCAAGTGGTGACAGTAAGTGTGAGTGGAGTAGCAAACAGAGGTCTGCAAGTGTGAATCATAAGCATACCTGGAAGTCAGCGTATTCTACTGATTGTCGCTTATAAATTTTCCCTCAAGAAAAGGACAAGACATTTTTGGTAATGCTGAAACAACCTATATCGGCTACTTTTTGTGTCAAGAAGTGTGATAATGTAAGGCACCAAAGAGGCTCACTAAGACAATTGAACCTCAGCTGTTACACTGTTAACAATCAATTCGTACATCCATGCGGATTGGAACACATTGTGGTCAATATACTTTTTCAAGGAACAAGAGCTCCGTGGCGACGTTGTGGTGTGCTTGTGTATCTCTATAATCCATCGAAAACATCACCAATAAATACACCTTTGAGCAACGATTAAACTTATTTCCTCCCTCTACTAGTTGGGTCAGTGTTAAGAACAACCTGGCCACCAGATTAGGTGAGCCAGGCTAAAGAGCCAGCAGGTAGTGTGGCGGAAGCTCAGGTCTAGCAGGGTCGATGGATATATAGCAATCACGAGTGTAATTTTTAGCTGAAGTCAACCGAAAGCGAACTCGAATTCATTCAGAAAGCCTGACATTTTGCTTTTTTGTAATATTAGTATCCGTCCTGACGGTATTGTCCGGAATTGGCTGCCTTCAAAGCTTATGTCACCCTTAATTACATCCCTAATTTATAATGATGTCAGTATTTCCACCGAGCTGGAATCTGTCACCTTTGCTACTTTTCTATATTATTCAGTCTATGTCAGTAGGTCTGTATAATGGAAATTGGTTTAAGTACTAGGCTTCTAGGAATTGTGTCATCTTTGTCATTTCTGCTACTAGAAGTAGCTGTAGAAGACAACCTGTTATTTGGAGACAGTTTTATTATTTGTAGAGGGTCTCAAAAAATCCATCTCACACTGAAGCGTTAAGGATATCGTCCAGAGAGATGATGCTAATTTCGCAGTTGTCACTCAGTTTTGAGTATTGTCACCATATCGCCCAGCTGCGGTAGGCAGCAAATGAATTCCTCGCACTCATACAGGACTTTATTAATCAAATCTAATTTAACTGACACATTTGCCGCTTCCACAGCTCATACGAAACACTGGTGCAACAATTCAGGTCGTGAATCGAGATAATGAGCGACTTTATTGCACATGCCCTCAATGACGCTTGTTGCTATGTTGCTATTGGTTTCAAGTGGCCTTGGTTTTGGGGGAAGATTTAACTGACGTAATGTTGTGATTTCATATACATAACTCAGGCTCATACGTGAAAGAAAGTTATTATCCTGTAATAAGGATAAGTTGTTCAGAAAGTAAGGAGGACGTTATTTTCAGTTTATTTGTGTATATACTATTGTGCACCGAGTTGCATTGAGTTCTTAGTGCAACTGTATGTAACTGCATTTACATAAAGTGAAACATTAGGAATGCTCCTGTTTCTAGAATAAAAGACATTATTATCATTAAGTTAAGAAATGAAGAATGGAATTTCTTCCACGTCAATGTTATTTAATTGAAGTTGTAATCTGTGTAGGCCCTTGGAAGAATAAATTCGGCATGGAGAACTCCTATGTAAACCGAAAGTGCTTTTAGTTTAGTAAATCTTAGTGACTTCCTGTATAAATTTGATATTTGTCAAGTGTTTATTTCAAATCTGCTGGAGTATTCAGTAAAGTAAAAGTTGTAGTGCATAATTCCAAGACTTGTTGTAGTCATTGGTATTGCCAGGATACCACTTACTCGTTTTATGCAGCCGGAATATACAAATCTCGCTTTATTGAGGAAACACTATAATGCCTGCAAAAGTACTGCGACAGTTAATGAGTTTCATAAATTCTACAGAATGTTTTCTATTCAGTGATTACTGTTTGCGAATTATCCGAGAAAACACGTTTCCAATTGGGATGTAACACAAGACTAAATTCTTAAACTGTCATCCTTATATCATTTCAATCCAATCACACATATATCAGTAGGATAGTCTATAAATGACTTTAGAGACTTATCATCATCATCAACTTACAGTTTGCTGATGGTACTATACACCTAAACTATGAGAAGTAAACCCTGATACTGGAAGATATGAAAAGAATACCGGTGTTTGATTATAGGTGTCTGTGTTCTATCTCATGAGTAAAGCGGTATAATATGGCGATTGCTCTTGAGGTTACGAATAAAGTGTTAGTTGAGGAGGGTAAGTTAGTCTTCAAGGTAGGGAAGCTGAATAGGTTGAGATGGCTATAACACGTGATGGCATAGCAAGCCATCGCCTTCCTTGAGGGATAATGTTAGCCAGCACATGTTAAGGTTCCAAATCTGTTTGGGTCGGTCAAACGAAAAAATGGTATTGGTTCATAAAATCGTTGACAGTCAGCTAGAACTACTAGATGTATGTCTGCAAGTCTCTGTTCATGGCACAGATGCATTCACTCTGTGTAATCTCACGTATCTATTCAACTCATGTTGTCACTATTTGTTCTCCCTCAAATTTTCGCTCGTTAAACTTCCATTTAGTTTTATGTCTCTACCTTTGTGTGGTGCATGGGATGTGGTAAGGTGTGTCCTACATTGATAGGAAAATATATATATTATATTAGTTCAGTAAGGTTTCGGCCGTGCAAACACGAGTCATGTGCAGATGAGTGGTTGCATTATCATTTCTCAAATGGTATACAGCATACTGTATATCAGGGTAAATCTTCCGCCTTGCTTGTTGAAGCTGGTGTTCCTCAGGGTACCGTTATCTCTCCTTTTCTTTTTTCTCTCTCGTCTTACATGACTTTTCTCTTTCTAATGAGAGCAACTTTTTCAAATACGCTGGTTATCTGACCGTCTCACTTCCTGTCATGTCACAATGTGTCACCAGGAGGACTCTATTTTTGAGTTTGTTCATATATATACTGTTGCGCATCGAGTTGCACTGCGATTCCACATGTAGCAAAAGATTATGAATATCTTGCTCTTCTCTTCTGCATAAGAAAGTTACTGCACAAGAACCACTATATTGAGCTCAGTAAGGACAAATATGAATTTCTCCACTTCAGTGTTGTGAGTTAATTTGTGAACTGTGTAGGCCCCTAAAGTAATGCATTTGGCGTGCATGCTGCATAGTGAAATCATGAGTGCGCATGTTGTACTAAGTCTTCTGCGCTTTCTGTATGGATTCCATGTCCATGAAGTGACCATTTAACAACTGCTGAGTGTTGCATGTGATCCAGCTGAAATTAAAACTGATAATTCCAAGAATTTCTGTCGTTTTCATTGGTTGCGGTTCACAGCCTATTGATTTTACACAAGTACAATACCCATTGCTCACTTTACTGATAAGACATTAACTATGACTCCAGAAAAGTAGTACGTCAGTATCTATCAACAAAATTGTGTGTCACTCACTTCAGGGACTTACCAGGGAAAAGTCTTGTCAACTTAGTGTA